GACTTAATGCGTAAAAACCCATGCCAATGGTTCTGGTACATATGCCCGAGTTGCCGTCCTGATGTAGCCTCGCGTAGTCCTTTGAAAACTAAAGATGACACAGAAGTAGCGGGGAAAAAGGTGAAAAGCTCGACCTCCACCAATCCGGAAGTTAGTACAAACGCGCGTAAACCGGGGATACCAAACTCCTCACCGGTTAAACTTGTAACTCTTGCCATAACCGCTCCAGACACAGAGGCTGGAGAACCGCGGGTTTCCGTCGTTGGAAAAAGACCCCAACCGTCTATCAGTAATGCTGGCTATAGCACTGAGACACATAAAAATACCCAGTCGCACCAGTCAAACCAAGACGGTCTTAAAGGTGATCACAAACGTGCGAGGACCGAGCCCAAGCCCACGGTTAGCAGATCAAATTGTGTAATCCTCTTTAATGTACCAGACTGTAGCAGTAGTCTGCTGAAAGATAGGGCCCTATTTGATCAGGAACAGTGGTCCATCTTGAGTAGCACACTGGGTTTGGACATCCAACCAGTAAATCTATACAGATTGTATAGGGGCACTGCTGCACCTGAAGGCAAACCACCCCCACTGAGGGTAACATTGGGCTCTACCGAGGATGTTGAAAAAGTGTTACTGGCTTCTCAAGTCCTTTCTATAGGGAGGGCCTGTAACATACGCGTTAAGCCAGACAGGCCGTGGAAGGAAAGACAAATGGCGAGGGAGTCGCCAGAGCTCATTCCTTCTGCCTCCATGATTGTGCATGGCATTCCCGAACTGGTAACTGGGAACGCCTGCGAAAAGCATTGTCATGATGTACAACAATGGAGATGGTTAGCATCCCAGATGGCCCTGGGAAGTTCAGGGGCTGTCTCTATTTATAGACTGCCTCGACCCACTCATCTTATGTCAATTAACTCGCCACGTCTGTTAGCTGTCAAGTTCAGCTCGCAAGACCAGTTGACTACCGCTCTCCATAGATGGTACGAGACCAAGGACAAGGTCAGCAAACACATTCGCTGCTGCGAGAGCCGGCCTCGCACTCAAAGGAGAGAACAAAACGTAGTTAAAAAATCCTCAACCCCTAGTCACACTACAGCGGTGCAGCACGGACGATGATAGCCAGTGTCATCCGAGTGCTCCAACTGAACTAGAAGAAAAAAACGCCAACAGGCCGGTTCCTGGGGAATCGGCCAACTAGTTCGTAGGATAACTCCTCAACCGATAGCCAATATCAAGTCAACTACCCCCCAATACGGGGAAGTGGTGAGACTGACTACCAGGTGCCTGTATAGTAATGTGAGAGGGCTAAGAGGCAAAATAGCTGAACTTAGACACCTACAATCACGACTGAACTCCAAAATCATCATACTGACGGAAACCTGGCTGACCCCTACGGTGGCAGACAGCGAAGTCAGTATAAATGATATGGTCCTAGTCAGGCGAGATAGGGACCTGAAAGAAGGAGGTGGAGTCGCCATATACGTCGACAAACAGCTCAGATGTGTTCACGCGATGGACCCTCCCCTCACAGAGCTCCCTGACTCCATATTTTATTTTTTTTAATTTTTTTATATTTTTGATTACAGCCTGATTCCACACTGTATTTTTGGTACAAGTATGGAATTTTCAGCAGGGATATCGGTAGCCCAAATTTCGCAGGCCGACCATAGATATCAGGTGTGCGTCGGCGTGGGCTCGAACCCAAGACCATATGCATGGTTGGCGAGAGTCCTAACCACTGTGCCACCGACGCACTTCACCGTTGGGTACTGCAAATATCTAGTGGGCAGCATTTATCGATCACCTTCATGTGGAGCAGACCACAACCAGGTACTGCTAAATACAATCTCAGCAACTCAAGACATGGGTTATGATCAAATTGTCATAGCTGGTGACTTCAATGCCCCATCTCTTAACTTGGTGTCGGGAAAAGCCCATGATAGATTTGATCGAAATCTGCTGCATACCATCAGGAAGGCTGGATTCACTGAAAATGTCAAGATGGATACTAGATGGGGCCCTGATGGGAAGTCTTCTAGACTGGATTACGTGCTCACTAGTGACCAGCTACTAGTGGAAAACGTTCAGATCACGACTCCCATAGGTAGTAGTGACCACGCGGTCATAGTATTCGACATAGTCCTCCGCGAGCGCTTACAGTGGGACAATACACAGCCCTATCTGTGTTATAACAAAGCCAACTATACCAAAATGCGAAGACTTCTGTCTGAAGCAAACTGGCCTAAAAAATGGACAGAGCTAACAGTAGAAGAACACTGGAGAGTGGTAAAGGAAATCATTCACCAGGCGGTCTCAGACACTGTTCCTTTAGTCTCACCAAAAGCTAGGAAGCAACGATCATGGCTGAAAAGAGGGACACAACGCCTTCTGCAGGCAAAGCGGAAAGCCTGGTTCGCGTGGCGACGATCGAAGAGTCAACCCGAATATGAAGTGTACCTTGAACTCAGGAATCGATGTAACATACGAGTCCGGAGCGATAGAAGGACATTTCAGGGAGACCTCGCCAATAAGCTTCTCGTGAACCCCAAAAGCCTATACAGGTTTATGGCCGAAAGAAAACCGACCAACCAGGGAGCATGCAATCTAGTGGGTTCTGATGGGAAATCTCTTACTAGTCTTGAAATGGCAGAGACATTCAGCCTAGCCTTTCACAGGCAACTAAATAGTAACGAGGATATTACCCCTACAGAACATCCAGATTACATCGCAAAACCAACACACGAAAACCTGCTGGGGACATTTCAAATTACCCCGGCTATGGTACTTGCAAAATTGGGAAGGTTGGCTTCGGGAAAGTCTCCAGGTTGTGATGGCATCAGACCATCTGTCCTGAAGCAGTGTTCAGAAAGTCTCTGTCAACCCCTAAGTGATCTGTTCCAACACTCCCTTGATGTAGGGAAACTTCCATGTGAATGGAAACGTGCAATCCTATCCCCTATCTTCAAGGGTGGTGACCGGCAGAATGTGACCAGTTACAGACCAGTTGCTCTACTTCCAGTGGTATCGAAGATATTGGAAAGTCTCATTGACGACCACATGAGAAAATACTTCGATGGGACTAACCTTCTTCACGAAGCACAGCACGGTTTCAGGAGGGGAAGATCCTGCGTGACGAATCTTCTACTAGCCTGGAACGATTGGACACTATCCTGGGACAAAAAGGTACCAGCCCACGTGATCTTTCTCGACTTTGCGAAAGCATTCGACACAGTTCACCATGGTCTGCTCCTTCACAAAATAGGCAAGGCGGGAGTTTCTGGAGCACTTCTCGCATGGCTGACAGATTACTTAGGCGAGAGAGAATTCTGCACCAAAGTCAACCGCATCCGATCATCCTGGCACACCTCGGCATCAGGGGTTCCTCAGGGTTCTATCCTAGGGCCGTTGATGTTTTTGATTTTTATCAATGACCTGCCCCCCAACTAAACTGCTCTGCGCTTCTTTACGCTGACGACGTAAAGATTTGGAGAGCAATAAACTCATCGGAAGACTCAGATAGATTGCAGGCTGACCTGCAAACTCTGGGAAATTGGGCTTTGGCTAACGGAATGCCTTTCAATCTAAAGAAGTGCAAAGTAGTGCAGCTTCATTCCGGCAGGTCACAGAGTGTAAATTACACCCTTGGTGGCCAGAACTTGAGTTGTGTTCCATCAGAGCGTGATCTAGGTCTTATTCTAACAGAAAAGCTAGACACCAGTGGAAATTACTCGAGGGACGTCGCCAAAGCCTACGCAACATTACACTTTATGCACAGGCAGCTGGGAGCTCTCACTCCCGAACTGTTCTTAAGGCTATACAAGGCATATGTGAGGCCACACCTTGAGGTGCATAATATCATTGCACCTCCGCTACTCAAAAGGGATGCTAACATTCTAGAAAGTGTCCAGAGACGAGCGACAAAATGGGTGATCGGCCTCCGCAACAAATCATATGAGGAAAGACTAAAGAAATTAGGTCTTTTCACACTTAGTTACCGTAGGCACAGGGGAGACCTCATCACCGTCTACAAGATCCTAAATGACCAGGCCCACCCAAATAAAAGCATCCTGCCATTAAGCGATTATAGGCTTCCACGAGGTAACCCGCTAAGGATAGCACACCAGAGACCAAAGACTCGAGTGCGATCACATTTCTTTTCGCTTCGTGTTTGCCGTCTCTGGAACGCTTTACCGGCGGCCGTGACTACAGCGCCATCTCTGGAGATTTTTAAGCGGAAGCTAGACAATCATGCAGAAATGCAAGGTTTGTGTCTCAATGGCTTATCCTCATAAAATTTGAAACCACACTGTCAATGATAAGCGTACAAACTAAATCCCCACGACCTATTCTGCCTTCTCTCACTCTATCTTTTCCTTAGGTCACCTTTATTATTCCACTTATCTCAACCTATATTATCTACACTACAACCTATTATTATTATTATTACTATTCTGCTTTTATGACTACACCGAATGACCAAGGGGAGTTAGGTCAAACTCCATTCACGGCAGCAATACAGTCCTAACATACTGCATACTACAAACCACATCTCGACCAATCCCCGCACCACTCCTCCTGGAGTCTACCAGAGCTAAAGCAGTCGAGTGTCGGGACTTACTACGCAGAAGCTCACCGAAGATCTGGAACCTCTACCTCACAATCAAGAAGCGAGCTCAAAGAAATCACTGGTTTATACTAGCTCGTAATCAGGATATTGGACCTTGAAAGGTGGTCAAGGTTAACCGCAATTGCGGTCCGCTATAAATGTCTGAGGTTAGTCGTTAGATTTCGGTAACTTTCCTGAGTAGTCTGCGTGTGATCACCTCAAGAGATTTTTATCAGAGTAAGCTTTTTTCGAATTTGGTTCTTAATATGTTAGAGTTGATGGTATACTTGGAATATTTGTTGCTGATAAGGATGGCGTTGTCATCGCGAGTGGTAATTCCTAATTATAATTATCACTCTTGTGATAATTAATTAATACAGCTTCTCTGGATGACATGCCAGACCAAGCCCGCTTACCATATGTGACTGCAGCATTCATCGTATCTTTACAGCAAGTAAATAAAATGGACCTTGGGAAAATGGAATGGATGATCACTAGTTACCAAGAGATGGTGGTATGTCGTTGCGTATAATTGTTTTGTAAACCCTAATAACACGTGTTCCTAACTGATATTCATTTGTAAGTGTAAATTTGACACTGGGAAAAGTTAAACCTTCTGGTCTGGCTTCATATTAGTTGTTGTTGCTGGTTATCTACAGCGGAATCTAGGGTTCTCATTTCTTACTGTTATGTTCTTTAATTGTATATAACTTAGTTGAAAGAAGTAACACACAGTATTGGATCAGGCGTAAATAAGGTTATTAATTTTGGGTGGGAATCAACCAGTCAGGCATTTGGAATAATCACATGTCAAGAAAGTATGACAAGTGGAAAAATCAGCACGTTTACCAAGTTAGTGTGTGAAAAATGCATACACGTTAAGAAAAATATTGCCTCAAAATATGCAGAAATATCTTGAGATCTTCCGTAGTTATGTCGGTCAAGAAATTCAAATAAGACGTATACATACGCAGCCTCAAATGCCTTAACGAAATTCACAATTCTTCCACTTATCTGTAGCGTGTTTCAGTATTTCATCAGTGAAGGCAAGATTAATTCATGAGTAAACTCTTTTGCCGGTGGTTTTATTCTTGAATAAGGTAGGCTTTGTAATCACCTGTAAAACTGTGATGTAACCAGTATGGCTTTCTTGAAGTTGATCACAAGAATCTAATCTAAGGAAAAGCATTCTGTCGACTGCTGTGTATCAATTTCCAGTGGTTGACTATGGTCATTTGGAGTTACTGACTACTTTCCGAGTTGGTTCCAAGCGTTATTAAATTGGTGGTATAATCGGTGGTGTACATCGGTGTAGCTTAGCCTTCACTTTTAATCTCTTCTGCCTTGTCGTTGGAGTTGTTTCTCCTTCATAGTTTGGAAAAGATGAACCAGGCATATATTCGTCATTTTAAATGATTTGACCCCATGCCCACGGTATGACAAAGAGAAGTTTCAATCTTTCTAGACACTGCTCCCAATTAACCGTCTTATAATAAACGTCACACGCGTGACCGTCCTTAGACATGGGCTAGCTACTGTGGTGCAAATTTTTGAATTAGAACTTACTAGAACGATGGAGCTACTAAACATCATAAGTGTTGTTTAGCGTTCTAAATTCCTGAGCAACAGTGCTCCATGATTCCTAGATCAGTATGTTTATAGGCCGTAGGAAAGGGCATTTTTCTAATTTTGTATACACTTCCATTTGCTTCCGTATGTGTATGATGACAGATTGAGGTAATTCGATATTATATTAATCGGCTTGGTGGATTGTTGAGATATGTTTGCAGAAATTGCACTTTGTTTGCTTCCTCAAACCCAATCTACACAGAATTATGAGGCAATTGTGATTAGTAAGTAATTGGTAAGTGTAGTTTTAAAGAAAAGAATTGCTGTTAAGACTTGGCCTATAATTCAGGAGGAGATTGCAGTATCTTCCATCTTGGATAGGAGTCACTAGTGCATTTTTCTAGTTACACATTTTTGTGAAGATAGTACTCAATAGACAAGCCATTTACATTGCCAGATACTTGAGAGGCCTTGGATGAAATTCATCCGGCTACGTTAATTCATCTATATCTAGGTTGCTTAATAATCTAAATACAATATTTCAGTCGATATTCACGAAAAATGTATTGCCTTCTGATTATGGATCTTCTGAAGTTAATGTTTTATGTGGTAGTGATTCCTAAGTAAACACTTTAGGATGATTTACTTTTAAGGTTCATGTACAAGAAGTCTTTTAAAGTGCTCTGCTTCACTGTGGCCGCTGCTAATTGTATCTCAAATCGTGTTCGAGATTAAAGAATTGCAGCAGTGCATTTACCTCAGACCGTGCTATGCATCTTTCTAACATCGGCATTGTGAAGTTTGGAATACATTCCAACACAGAATTTTCATAACTTATTCAACCGTCATATGTAAGGTATTTATCAAGCATACACATTTGTGCGTCGCTGGTTTGACGACAGAATGCTCATCAGCCACATGGGTACCCCTAGTTCTATTCCCCACCAACACGAACACCTAAACCTCCCCTAGTTTACTAGCCCGTAGCAGGTCTGGGTACGTTTGGTGTAAGGCTGGTGGTAACCTCACCCCGTAAGTAGAATGGTGCTGCTGAATATTCAAGGTTTGATGCTCTGTGTTCCACACTGTACGTAAGATACAAAATACACACTTGAGTCATTTGTGTTTTATAGTGATTGACCCATGCCTTTATACGCATGTTTTTACATCGTGAATTACAAAAGTGCACAATTGACTTACTTTTCGGAAAAAATGATCTTTGGATTTTCGGCTTTAGAACTTCAGAACATGTGTAATAACTCCCTTTATTTATATGTGTGTTTTTCAGATATGCCAGTTTCACTTTTCATATCGATCAGCCTTTCCATTATTTTTGACTGTTGTCGGTTCAAGTGAATGCAATATAGGTGAGTATGGAGGGAATTGTTTTTTTTAATCGTTATGTTTACTTATTATAAAAGTGAGATGTATTTTTTCAGATGTTAAGAGAAACAGTAGAAGGATTAATGTTTTGTATAAATCTGGCCCAGATTATTCTATCGTATAGGTACATTTTTCAACGATATCTTTCATTGTAAAAATTATATTTGTAAAATCTCAACGAAATTGAAGTGCGTAATTCCAACATTTTGTTCGGCAAACTTGTCCACACTTCTTCAAAGAAATTAATCGAAATTAACAGAGGTTTATGTATTAAAGGGACTTTGTCCAGTCATATGAGTCATTAAACAGTCATCAAAGTATAATAAACAAAATTGCATGAACTGTGATCAAAATTTGACCTGAGACTTCTTGCAAATATTAGTCTACTTTTTTTAAACACTTTAAATAGCGTGTACTTTTCATCGGAATTTTAGTGAGTGCGTTCGACTTTAAGTTCGTGGTTGTAGATAACTGAATATGAAAATATACTTGTATATGTGGTGTACAATGGTGAGTGTGTATGAGTAAACAGTTGTCAATCACTTGTTAGCCTCTCCATAAAAAAGATATAGGCAATCCGGAATTTCGACCAAGTATGATTAATCAGGATTTTCCATGCATCAGTCAGCTAACATCACACCTTCATGTCTGTTCAGACTGTTGGGATTCACCCATATATGTAGGGCTTCCGCAGTCAGTCTTTCTTCATACGAACCAAAATCTTTCTGTAGAACCTTAGTCCGATCAAAGTCGATTTTGTGTGCCGTTCCTATCAAATGCAGTGTAATTACTGATCTGTATAATAATATGGGAAGGCTTGTATAGAACACTTCCCTAGACACATTTCAGGGTTCTCCCTGTGTATGGCAAGGGCTTCTTATGTAGGCAGATGAAGTAACTGGAAAGCCTTCACCCAACTTGGCCTTACCTCATATATCACTCTGAAAGATTTTCATATTGATTCGGAATGATGATTTGTGAGAACAAGGTACTCGTGAATTGAACTGTTGATCCGTCTAATTTTTCCTTTCGAGAGTAATATTAGGAGTTCTTGTTCGCATCTAGACAGTGCCCTACGGATACGTTCTGTGTACTCAACGACATAGAAGCAAATGAATTCGTATCTGTACATGAATGATACCACCAACAGTGGGACTCTATATTTGATGTTTTGATAAGTAGGAGGTTCTCTCGAGTAGGTAAGATGTAAGGATACAGCGAGGAATGATTTTCGAATTACTCTCTGTAATGCACTTTGAGGAATTTCAGCTGTTGTATCACCCTTGAATTTCAGATTCACCACTAACTTCTTCTTTGGTACATCTGTCTTTTGTGAATTGTCCATTTTACCTTTCATCTACTTATTGATGAATAGCGGAGGGTAGCTATTGTGACTTGGAGTGTTAAGGAAAGGCTCTAGTTTTCTATTTAGTGTGTCCTCCTTCATGCCTACGTGACTGATTGTTGTGAGAAGAGATTTGATAAGATTACCTTTTTCTACTTAATGCGACAAAGCTGTGATAGTCGGTCCTCTGACTGTTCAGTTTTGGTGACATGGAGTATGTCATGCGGAGAGGAGATGAAAGCATGTGGTCAGACGTGGAGCCAAGTGAAAATGTTGGCAGAGAACCGAACGCAATGGAGGCGTGCTGCTGACGCCTTGTCTTCCTCTAGGAACTAAGGCACAATTAAAATAATATTTTTGAGGACGTTGTTGTACGTTAGTCTGAAGATTTAACTTTCAGCCAGCGGTGGGTGTGAAGTCCTAATCCCGCCCTACCTACTTCAGTTAGGGCAGCTAAAAACCTGGGACAGGCGTGATCTGTCTGAGGGACTGATTTCAAAACAGCAGTTATCGTGGTAGTATAGTATTTCAGTATACTGTGTGAGCACTTATGAGTGGTAAAATTGTAAACTTAATATATTTTGTTTCTTTAACTTAACAAGGGATAAAAGATACTGCAAACCGTGAACTGATTTCTAAATCGATAAATCAATTGTTGTTTTCTTATAGATAGCTAGATAGAAAGTCAATGAACTTATCCGTTATAACACCTACGTCATTGACTCGTGTATCCAGTACTCTTTGTTTCCTTGTATTAAGGTACTTCTCCGTCTCACCTCGCTCAAATGGTAGGCTGAAAAATCAAGTAGCCTTTATGTTGTAATATTGGAAGTGGATAAGCGAAATTCGTGATCACCGCCTTTGTTACTCGGGCTCGGATATCCTCTATCAATCCGAATCCAATATTGCGAAATGGAATGGCGGTCACCTCTCTATCTCAACTTCATCGACTTTGAAAAGGCCTTCGACAGACAGCGTCGATCAAGAGGTGATTTGGCAGGTACTTCGCTACTACGGGGTGCCACCAGCAATTAAACATCTCATCCAACAGTTGTATGACAATGCTGCATTCCAAGTAATCCACAACTGGAAACTTACGGAATCCTTCGAAGTGAGGACGGGAGTAAGGTAAGGTTGCCTACTATCGCCGATGATTTTCCTGATTGCAGTAGATTGGATAATGCGACAGACAACGGGCAATGAGGAAACAGGCATAAAATGGACTCACACAAAGACAAACTTGGAGTATCTGGACTTCGCCGATGATATATGTCTGATTTCCCACAAACTGGAAGATAGGCAAGTCAAAGGCAGCAAGTTGGCAGAAGAAGCATCCAGAGAAGATAAAACTTCAGGTGAAAATAGAGAAAACAGAGGTGATAAAGATTCCTGGCCAACAGCATCAGCAACAACAATCAGCCAGCATAAATGGGAGGAACCTGAAGGAAACTGTTATGTACTCGTCGCTGAATTATTGTTATGGACTGGTCGAGAAACTAATAGTCCTGACGCGAGAAGGCGGAAATCAGAAGACCACTAGGTTTGCGATGATACTTCTATTGTCCAAACACAAGGAGACGAAAATAAATGGTCTCACACCAAAGTGGTAAGTAAGTAAAGTAGTTGTAAAGTAAAGTAGTTCACACAAATTGTAAATGCGAATATATATGAATAATTCAGACAAGCGTGGGAAAAAATCATTAGACAGTCTTAACATGAATGGCTAATTATAATGGAGTGTCGATCCAATTATACATAGCGAATATAGCAGACATGCCAACAAACATATATGGATATATGTCACCAAGCAACGGACTGTCAACAAACACTCATATTATATATAATATAATATAAGGAGAATATACATTGATAAAGGAGACAAGTTCATACCAGTGAAAAGGTCACAGACTAAGCGAGCAAACAGAAAGAGAGACCAACATACACACACACATAAATATATATATGTGGATACATATCAGAAACAACCTCCTTTACCCACCCACCTGGGAAGCATCGTTTCGACTACAGGCGGACGGAACTGGAAAGGATATCAAAGCAAGAATCGGAAAAGCAAGACAAGTTTTCATTACTCTCAAGTCTGTGTGGAGGTCAACAACATTAAGCCTGAAAAATAAGATCCAGATTTTCAACTCGGGTGTGAAGTCAGTGCTACTCACCATACGGATCAGAGACTTGGCGCGTCATAAAGAGCATCTCAAACAAACTTCAGACCTTCATTAACAGTTGTCTTCGCTCAATAGTATTCAAGATCAGGTGGTTAGAAAAGATCAGCAACAGGAATCTCTGGCAATGAGCGAACCGACCAGGAACCGATTGTGCAACAAATATGCACGAAGAAATGGAGGTGGATTGACCATAGTCTTAGGAAATCATCAAGTGACATCACTAGACAAGCCCTCAAGTGGAACCCGAAAGGGAAGCGGCGAGTTGGTCGTCAATGGTAGGGTGACTTGGAGGAGGTAATGTGAAGAGGAGATGAAAGCATGTAGGTGACAGATGTGGAGCCGGGTGAAAACGTTGGCAGAGAACCGAAGGCAATGGAGACGCGCGGCTGAAGCCCTATGTTCCTCTAGGAATTAAAGGAAATAATAATAATAATTGCGAAATATAAAGCAACATCCCTAACTTATATATTTTGTGAATGTGCAGTTCAACTGTCAAATAAATATAAAGTTACACCTGTACGTTAAATTGACTAACTTATATAACAGATGCAATTCTATTTTCCATAATCCTTATATCCGCGTTTTATTCTCTTACCCTCTTCTCTCCTTATTATATAGGAGCTATAATCGCACTCGAACCGTCTATTCGTCCTTTATTAAATCGATTAGCACCAGAGGCAGCATCAAGACTACAAAATGAAGCTATGCTAAGTCGAACTACAAGTGGGCCTTACTTCCGAGTGTAATTAACACACATACATACATACACATCACGGTGTTTTGAATTATAAAGTCATCATTATCTTGTTGATTCATTTCGATATTTATTACTATTATTTTTGAAAAAAATATAATTATCTATGCTTTCTAGACTTCAACAAATGCTTCCTATTTTCACGTGTTGATTCGCAGGGATTCAGCTCATTTCGAGCTAGATTATAAACTTACATGACAACCAGATAATTGCTTCGCCCTAGTTGAAGACTCTTCAGGACGCGGTGGTGCTGTCTATCGCAAATTGGAGGAAGTTACAATTCACGGGTTATTGGATTCCCATCCAAGATATCTTTTCCGTGGTTTCATCCTCAAAAACTGTACAATCGCATTTATGTACCTAAACCTAAGTCTACGTAGTTGCAACTGTTACTTTTAATGCAACGTAGGACTCTGCACATATGTGGAGCAGTTCAGGTTGCCACACCAATTTGACGTTGGGCCCTGATGTTAAGTGCTCCATTAGGAAGTTGGCGCCACGGCTTTAATAGGCGTTTTTCCGACTCATCGTTATTTGTGGTCACAGGACGAAATGAAGATGACTCACTAGCCTGAAGCATAGTATTAACAGTGCGTCGGTGGCACAGCGGCTAGGGCATTCGCCGACCATGCCCATGGTTTGGGGTTCGATCGCTGGCTGACGCACACCTGATATCAATGGTTGACCTGCTAGATATGGGCTACCGATATCATATGCTGAAAATGCCATACTTGTACTGAAATACTGTGTGGAATCAATCTATAATAAAAAAAGATGATGAGGGTGACAGAGATAAAGGAGCATGCTGATCATGGGGGCTTCGTATGCTTTTGCAAGTGTGTGGATGGTTGTTACTTCCCGGCTTCCTACACTGTGGAAGTTGATTTATTCTTGTGGTACCTGAAACAGAAAGAGAGAGTAGCGTGACCGTGGAGCCCAGGAGACAACTGCTTGAAGCCGGTCACACACAGCCTGTCTGGACTGGTCTCTTGGATTACCTCCGCCGGTCACAGACCACTGTAGGGCAAGTCGGGATGTACAGTTTCTGGCATCGACCTTTCCTAATCTTCCTCTCCATACTAGAGAGACAGCATAGCTGGTCCTCTGGGGGAAACACTTTCCTGCTGTTACATTCGTATTCCGCAAGAGTACGACTTTGCCCCACAGACTCTCAGAATAATGTAAAAAAAAATAACTTTACACTATGCTGGTAACTGCTTTTGGTCTAATCGCTATCCTAACAACCTTACTGGCATGGTGAAACCTGGAGGAACATTAGTTCCAGCCAGTGTGGCTTGTTGGGCCATTGCCGTATGCAACCCCGATTACCACGTCAAGGTAGCAGCTATCGGTCAGGGGAAACATGATGACGGAGGGAGATTAAAGGTAATAATTTTCAACTCGATATGGGAGTTTGAAAGTTACATAGGACTATAAAATAGTTGCGCAATATATAAAGTGGTTTTTAACGAAGACAAATGTGAATGGGATGAGTATAGAAACCAGATGGATATGATATTTTTTATAAACGAAGGGGATGAAAAATCAGGTAAACAAAATGTAAGCAATCGAACAGAACTAGATCCATGGACTAGTTTCTTCTGAATACATCTTCGGCTTATTGATGAATGCCGTGAGGGCTTCTGTAGCAAAAAGAAGTCAGAAATACACTACCTTTTTTCCTTTTTCCGACCCTAGAATTATGAGCCGGTTCAGTTGGTGTTATGGCGCTTGTAATTGAACCAGTACTGCCTCTGCAGCAATGCTAGGTAGTGTTCTCTAATACGTTTTGAAAGGACGTGTACCCACCCCGTACGAGGTGAATTGATTTGTGCACATTGGATTGATTATATTCGACAGTTTATCCTTTACACAGCTCAGAAGCAGTATGGGTCTAATGAGTTTTGCTACAGGAATGGTATTCCTTAAAGAACTAGAGATTCTCCTCTTCAGGACATCTGCCACTATGTCGCCCTAACTAAAGTCCAAGTTCATATACAGTGTTTACTTTGAATCTAAACCGCATTTTTCTCATTTTGACTTCAGTTTTCCGCTCTATCCACAAAACACGCTAGATATCTTACTTAAGAAGTAATAACTCTTCTAAGCGAGTCAACGCTCCAGATTCTTTTGATACGGTGAGCAGGTGAACTCATGAGAACTATTACCTATTATGTAACTATCCTCCAGTGCTATGCAATTTTTCTAGTACCCCGTGTAATCGTACCTTTAAACTTTCTTGCCAAGTTGGAAATTATTATCACCCCTAATCTCGCTTCGTCACTATGTTGAATTATATGACAGTGATTCTTTTGAGGATGAAATCGCCCGGCGATGATATCTTAGCTGAGCTTCTTGCTCTTCCCTCTCACTGGATTTCGTCTTGATGGTTCAGTAGTGAACGGGCTAGCGTCGTAATCTGAAAGTCCTATCGTCCTCCGTTGGCACATAGGTGCGTGCTGATGAAGGGACTCCAGTTGGGATGAGACAGTACTTTATGGGTTCCAGTATTTCTCCACCTAGAAATGCTTTATGGTTAATCTCTACCTACTAAAATGTCATTCAAAACTCCGTTGATTCGGCCTAGCTAGATTTATATAGGTCCCAGGTATACTATTATACCTAAATAAAACACTAAGAATATACATTACTATTGTGAACTGTCATAAAAAGGTTTTTGTACTTTCCAATGAATGAAAAAGACCAAAACGATATTGTTGTTGTTTTTACTGACGTTTCGCTATTTAATGCTGCTGCTAATAGCTTTATCAAAGTATTATTAAACCAGAATTTACAAAATCCAATCAGCATATATATAACAAAGAGTTAAGAGGTGACAAAATTGACTACTTAGGTCAAGTTAAAAGGAGAACATATTGAAAGTCAAAATAACAAAGAAGATCACTAAACCAAATAACAAAGGTAACAAATAGTACGTCTGTTATGATATCAAAACAAAGTTTACTAACTTGATCATCGTTCGTCAGTCTGTCCATATAAAAGACCAAATCCCTAAAGATTCTCTATCTAATTGTGTCTATAAAATAAAATGCTTGGAATGTAATGTGATATACATCGGACAAACATCTCGAGAAATCAAAATCAGAAGAAATGAACACCGTAGAGTGTCTGTGTTCCACCACCCAGAAGTAAATCCAGTTGAACTAGAAAAATCATCAGCCATAGCTTGTCTATACGCTATAGAATCAGGCCATAAAACTGATTTTGGACAATATTGAAATAATCCAGAAAAACTCCAAGAATCACAAAGAACGACTAATATCAGAAGTACTTCATATCGAGTGGAATCCAAATTGCCTGAATAGGAATGATGGACTAAAATAGAATCTGACCTGGTTACAACACCTCCCTCCCCCATGAAGTGGCAAAATCAACACGAATGTGATAAGCAAATTTCACTATGTAAACACACGCTGCTTTTATAATTTTACACACTGATCAAATCCAACAATCTACACCTACCTGGTTTTGTTATCTTTACCAATTGACCAACTTGACAACGAAAAATGACCCCCAGACTGACGAACGATGATCAAGTTAGTAAACTTTGTTTTGATATCATAACAGACGTACTATTTGTTACCTTTGTTATTTGGTTCAGTGATCTTCTTTGTTATTTTGACTTTCAATATGTTCTCCTTTTAATTTGACCTAAGTAGTCAATTTTGTCACCTCTTAACTCTTTGTTATATATATGCTGATTGGATTTTGTAAATTCTGGTTTAATAATACTTTGATAAAGCTATTAGCAGCAGCATTAAATAGCGAAACGTCAGTAAAAACAACAACAATATCGTTTTGGTCTTTTTCATTCATTGGGAAATACAAGAAAACCTTTACTATAATGAATATCATTTACCCAATGCGCAATTTTTTTCAAACTGTTAAAAGTGAACTTGGTTTGGACTGTGAACTGTCGTTTGACTTCTCTCACGATGAAAGCCAAGGTGCAGACGCAAAAAACCAGAGGCTTGAAGCATCAGTTAGTTTTATTATTTCTTTTCATTTACATATTTTATAAAAAGTAACAATACAAATAAGCATTTTTATTATTATTAATGTACTTTGAAAAAGAAAAGTTATTCATTTACAGGCATCACTTGACGTACATTCATATTGATTCGTGTAGATGCCGCGTACTGTAGAAACTCTTGACAGTGTAAACATGAATCATTGCCTTTCTCGTGTACAACACTTTCGCAAATCTTGTGACTGACACGTTGAGCTGTTTCTAATACAACATTAGGAATATCGTTGAAGAAAATATTGGGAACAGCATGACGAGCTAAACGACTTTTACCAGCCATAATTACTATATCACCGTGTTGAAGGAACACGGGGAATATGGTATTGGAACCAGTGAATTCATGTACAGGACTATGTTGGCAGTCAATAGGTTTTGAAGTCTCCAGTAAGAATAGTGCAGTAGGTCCAATGCTGAAAGAAAAATTAAGTACAGAATTACTTGACTAAAATAAATGAAAAAGAAGAAATACCATTCAGTTTTTATGTATATTGCCTACAAAGGCAAAATGAATACTAACTTCGAGCATAACACCATTTCATTTTTAGTATTTTGTGAGAACACATATCGTATGAACAAGTATACTACAAGATTTGTTGAAATCAGTTGGTTTGACTCGGAAAGTTATTTATCAAACTCCCTCTGGAGTGAAAGGTAAACTCGTGTGGGTAGAAATTGACGAGTTAAGCGTCCGTCAACGACAAGAAGATCCCGTGAGTAGGCGACGAGAACTTGTGCACAGTTGTGCAGATCGTTGAAGGTGAATATAGCATAGGACGCAGTGCTATATATATATATATATATATATATATATATATATATATATATATATATCACTTTGGATGTGTTTCAACACTGCACTTTTTCACTTCGCTGATAGCGTTTACCCCAGAAGACCCAAAGGCACTTTCAAACTGAAACACAAGTTGCTACAGAAGTGAGAAAGGACAAAGCACCCGGATGGGTGTTTCTGTTCGGCAAATTCTCTTTACAGGTGTTCACCTATTGACTAATTAAACTGATTATATTTCTTTATCGCCCACCCGCAGACTCTGTCATTGGACAGTTTTCTCCACAGTCCACCTGATTTGCAATACGGGATTATGTGTGTAGTTAGCAGAGCTTCTTACATAGGTACTATTTACATAACATTTTTCAAAACATACGGTGCAGCAAGACTCAAAGACGTGACTTAACGAGTGAGATGAAAATTCTAACTGACTAGTATTAACGTAGAACTTTGTACAGATATGCAGCAGTTCCAGTTTCTACTCTCCATCCTTGTAGCACACAAAGCAAGGGAAGAGAGTAGAGAAAGATTCAAAACAGAAATGAGTCAAAAAATAGTGATGTAGAAGAACAATAGAGTTCTATTGGATATTATAAATTACAAGGAGTGGATGCATCTGCGCCAGCCATTGAGAACGACTTTGGGCCATATTACTAGTTGTCTTCAGCCATTGGTTTTCACAATCCTGAGGACTCCAATCAGTCAGTCAGTCAGGAAGTCTATACCTTCCAACGTGGCATAAACTAACTGTTGTGGATTTCACTGACTAGTGAAGCCATGTTTTCGTTTGACTACCACTAGCGCTTTTTTTTTTAACCCGATCCATCCTACGTCAGCTAACATTGCCCATTGTCGAGGAAGGCGGTGGCAAAGCTAGCATGCATAACACACGTCCTAACTATCTCAATTGGTGTAACTGCTTCACAACCTCGTCGATTGAATTCCTAGAACTCAACCAACTCAATATTGCTCACCTTATTATGCCACCACCTGACAGGGAGATAGAACGCAGGCACCTATGAGCAAAGACAGCTAGCTATTCTTTTCATATCTTCCACTCTCAGTGGCCATATCTCACTCACAGCCATAAAGAAGGACGAAGTGGACTGCTGAGCAGTACACATGCCCTTTGGTCGACATCCGCTAAGCCAGCGATGGCGCAAGCTGGCATATGCTAAACGAGCTTTCTCTATCAGTGCTGAGATTTCGTCAGTGACCCGACCCGCTGGCGTTGGCTGATGCAACTTCTCATATAAATGAAGTAAGTGGTCAACACGCTCCAACAGCCATTTCACTAACTATCTCTAAGCTAGAAGTCAGTGTAATCCAGTTCACTCCTGCAGCATCATCATCTTACATTTGACAAAGGGAGCGAATCGCATGCCAAACATTCGAAGATCACTGTTCAAGGTGTTCAGAAGACTCTGCATGTTTTCAGCATCTTTAACTATGAGGACTATGTCATCTGCTGTCTGCTTCAGTGTCTACTATAATTAGCCCGAGTGCTCCTTGGTCGGTTAGTACCGACCCACCCACCGAAGCGGAGGTCCGTAAGGAACTCCAAGTACTGAAACGCCATAAGGCGCCCGGCCCAGACAAATTACCCCCGGCTTTTTTTAAAGATGGTGCGAGACTCTCACAATGGCTCCAACTGGGTTGATCAGGAAGGCGTGGGAGACAGAGAGTGTACCATCAATATGGAACGAAGCCATTATCGTCCCCATCTTTAAAAGGGTCGACGTAATTCGTGTGACAATCATAGGGGTATCAGTCTGTTACCAGTCGCGTCTAAAATATTGGCTGCTGTCTTGCTTCGCAGACTGTGCAAAATACGTGAAGGATTGATTCGCGAAGAGCAGGCTGGGTTTCGTTCAGATCGTGGATGCATTGATCATGTGTTCACCCTTCGTCAGTTGTTGGAACACCGCCACACGTATTGCAGGCCAACGATCGTTGTGTTTCTTGATATTAGGGCTGCCTTCGATTCGTTGGACATAACTGTGCTCTGGAACTGTCTGTTAGGGAGAGGTGTACCTGAGAAATTTGTTAACATCTTGAAAGCCCTATACCTAAACACCTCAGGTAGAGTGAGGGCATACAACCAACTATCACCACTGTTCCCAACCAACAGTGGGGTTAGACAGGGTTGCCCAATCTCTCCATTTCTCTTTAACTTTGCCATCGATGACATTCTGGAGTCAGCTCTGAAGGATGTGCGTGAAAGTGGTGTAGATCTGCTACCTGGAGATAGACTTTTCGACCTCGAGTATGCAGACGATATCGTCTTACTGTGCGATAGCATGCAGGCTGCCCAAATCGCACTTAATCAGTTGGCGATCAGTGTCTGTAAGTATGGTATGTGCTTTGCGCCGTCTAAGTGCAAAGTACTGTTACAAGATTGGCAGGAGCCTGTACCTGCACTCACTCTTGCAGGTGAACCGCTTGAAGTTGTTGATAAGTTTGTGTACCTGGGTAGTTGTGTGAGTGATGGCGGAGGGGTGACGGATGAGATTTCCAACCGTATAATGAAGGCTAGGGTGGTATAAATCAACTTGAGCCACCTCTGGCGCCGTCGCGACGTTAGCCTGGCTGTCAAAGGTCGGGTATACAATGCTTCGGTGCGGGCTGCGCTGCTCTATGCCTGTGAAACCTGGCCTCTCCGAGCTGAGGATGTGCGGCAACTCTGCATGTTCGACCACCGCTGTCTCCGCAGGATTGCTTGCGTTTGGTGGCATCATCGCGTGAGTAATTCTGAGGTTCGGCGGCGTGTGTTTGAACATGGTGGAGATCACCATTCATTGAGTGTCGTCATCTGGAAACACCGGTTCCGGTGGCTTGGACATGTGCTCCGAATGTCACCCCAGAGGCTTCCGTACAGGTCTCTGTTTGCTAGCCCTGGGACGGGATGGAAAAGGCGGAGAGGTGGTCAGTCCACGACGTGGCGGCGTGGGATGAAGGATTTTTGTGCTAGATTAGCATCGGTTGGTGTGTCACGACTCCCTGGTTGGGGTCCGAGAGATAGCTCAAATCGATGGCTCGAAACGTTATCGGATATGGCCAAGAATCGTAATCAATGGCGAATGTGTTGCAATTTCCTTCTTTCTTCCCTTCCCGATGATAGTTAACGAACACTGTTTGAACTTGTTAAGCATGAATGTCTTCCTTCCAGATGGAGTTCTTTATCCGTTCTCTACTTATGTATATTCTTTTCCTTCCTTTTTTTCTTTTTGATCTATGTTGTTTTATTATTATTGTGTGGCGCATCCATCTTGGTGCCATATTGTACCAAGTTTTTTATGCGTTTAAATAAATAAATAAATAACTATGTCATCTGCATATTTGGAGTCAACGAGATTACCCCCTGGTGGTAACAAGTCAATCGCTGAAGTCAATTAGGGGTTAAGTCCATTAGTACACCTATGATGATGATGAATATTCTATACGAAAAAGAACTGACGTATTTATCCAGCCATGGATTACCGAGATACGAATGTATAGATAAATTCAGTGCACATGTGTTTTATTATGAAGCTTCATGCCATTTTGTGCTAACTTGATAGGACATAAGTGATATCATAAAGCATACCACCTAACTAAGCATGAGGTACACGTAGAAAATACGGATTTAATCTAAGGTAAATTAGAAGATTAACACGCATACCTTATCGAAACCAAAGGAGCTTCTTTGTCCAGCTCTGCATCATCAGAATGAAAGCCCATAGTTGTTTTTGTCCGATAATAATTTACTATGGAAGCCTCCGGTTTATAATTTTGACATTTTTCAAGTAAACGAGTGGAGTTGTTTGAAGAAATACTGCCAGTTTCTATGAGAAGACGAAGAAAATTCACCACATGCACAGTGATTTCATTCAACAATAAGGGGAACTCTCCAACTTTGGATTCATCGTAAACCTGAGAATAAGATGCATAAGATAGAAATTAATTTTGGATAAAAAATTTCGAAATCAGAACGTAACTAAGACCCACCCACTAACACATTAAGAGAAGACTACTCCACCAGTACAAACAACTACAAGATGTGAAGGTTATACCATATATATACAATTTTAGGAAGCAGAACTATTATGCAACGATTTGAGAAGCCCCCCACCCCGCGTAACTGTCAGAACTCAGATTTCTACACAGGGTATAAGGAATATCAACTGGGCATAGAGATAGGAGACAAACAAATAAAAGTCGAAGAGTTCCTTTCGGGGAAAAAGATGCAATATCGCAAATAATATGAGGTATACATGTATCTGTCGCCGACTCAAAGTCATACCACCTAGTATCTTGGACGACAGGCTGTGGTTGTCATGTTGACTCTACTCAACCATGCTACACAAATCAGACAAATGTTGGGAAACTGGATGGGTTGACATGATAAATTTCACTGATGATCAGGTCACCAACCATTTTCTCCTAACTGTTAATTAACGTGTAGAGAAAAGTGGGACTCCGCGTTCATAATACACTTTTCAGAAACTCAAGGAGACAACTCCCTTATATATGTGCAAATCAAGTTCACTTTTAAAAGTTTGAAAAAACTTGGGCATTGGGTGTATATGATATTCATTATAATAAAGGTTTTCTTGTATTTCCCAATGAATGAAAAAGACCAAAACGATATTGTTGTTGTTTTTACTGACGTTTCGCTATTTAATGCTGCTGCTAATAGCTTTATCAAAGTATTATTAAACCAGAATTCACAAAATCCACTCAGCTTATATAATAACAACTTAATCATCGTTCTTCAGTAAGGGGTCATTTTTAGTTGTCAAATTGGCCAACAAAATCAAGTGTAGATTGCTGGATTTGATAAGTGTATAAGATTATGAAAGCAGCGTGTGGTTACATTGTGAAATTGTTTATCACATCGACGTTGACTGTCATTTCATGGGCGAAACGTCAGTAAAAACAATATCGTTTTGTTTTTCATTCATTGGGAAATACAAAAACAACCTTTATTACAAAGATGACTCCCTTATCTAAAATTCAGCATCTGTGTCTACCTCGGTCGCAAAGTGATACAGAATGATGGCACAAAGACAGCAGTAACTGAATACATGACCACCATAATAATTACTAAAACGATTGTAGCCATCACCAAACCAATGCTTTTAGTAAGACAATTACATTTTTCACTATAGTTATGGTTGTTGAAGCGCTTAAGTATTTGTAGATTAGGGTAATGTTGTGTGACTTTCATTGCACACATACGCAATTCAATGCATACTGTATACCCCACGCAGAACTTCAAACAAAAGTGCAGCAGTTCGTCTATGTAGCATATAAATTTAGAGATAAAATTCAAAAGAACTATGTAATGAAGGGAAATGTACGGCAGAGAGAATAACTACATGAAAAGAAGATTTAATGGAAAGAGATCACCTAAGAGTGAATGCGTCTGCGCCAATAAGGCCGATTTTAAGCCACACCACGGACAATCTCCACCTCGTTACGTGACTCAAACCATCAATCAGTATTCATGGGTTAATTCCAAGTTTTGATATGGCCCATCAGTAAATCTGTTCGGTTAACATCGCTTGACAAGGAAGGCAGTGGCTTGACATAAGTAACACGTGTTCTGTCATCTTAACCAATAGAGCTTCACAACCACAACGACTGACTGTCATGCTCTCCTCATCAAATACTCTAAGCCTAGCCTCAATATTACTGTATGGCTACTTGAACTGCTACATTTCAGTGCAAATTTCCACGTTGACACTCAATCATTTAGTCATCATACATTTCTGAATACATACCAACGTAATATTTCGGCAAATTTAGGAACACCAAGGAGACATTTGGATCTAGTTCAAATACAACCTTAAATAAGCACAAGGTACCTGGATTGTCCCTAGGGGAGAGAGATGTATATCTTTCTCTTCCCTATAATAATGGAAGTAAGAACGAATGCGTACATAAGAATCGGAGTTCCTTTATTCATTACCCTTATTCAAAGCTGCAGTGGAAAAATGGCATGGATCTTTTAGTTGCATACTAATCAAAGTATACTAGTAGTGTGGTGAGTGCTACTTATAATCAGACAAAAGTAGTATATCAGTGAACGAATTCAGAAAAGTAACAATATGTTTCGGACAGTGGAAAAAGCAAGCGAAGGACAGAACTGTGAGAAGAATGTTAGAAACATTGTGCAGAATCATCCAACAAGCTATTGAATGTGGCGATATTCGACCAATTTGAAAGAGATGTGCATATAAAGCGTTGAAGATATGGTATACCAAAGAAAATTTATGTGCCTACAATGAGTTTGGTCTAATTAAACGTTCCTTTGAGTCTCATCAGTTTTTTCTTCTTTATGATACCAGCTAGATACAGTCACCTGCTTCAATTACAATGAATAATTAAAATATTATTTTATTTATTTACGTTCACAGTGGAACATAAGGCTTCAAGCTAGAGGCCTGAAGTTTCTGTAGCAGTGGTGTTTTTATTTTTACGGGATTGGGTTGCTAGCCAGCCTCATGCCCAACCAACCCTCTTTACTAGTTTTATTACTGGTTTAGCGAGGTGAACGAGTGCGTTGGTGGCCGGGAATCGAATCCCGGACCACATACACATGGTTGGCGAGCATTCTACCTCTGTAGGAGAATGATCCTCAGGAAGGCTTCGTGTACTCTTGGAAGTGTGTAGGCGGTTATTACTTCCTAGCTCTCCACACCATGGAAGTTGATTGGTACTTCGGGTACCTGAAACAGAGAGAGGGTTAGTGTTGTGTGACTGCAGAGTCAAAAAGAACACTGCTTGAGGGCGGTCACACACGGCCTGTATGAACTGGGTTTTTTGCTTTAGTTCCATATTAGTAACTTACCGCCGGTTACGGACCACCATAGGGTAAGCTGGGATGGACCTTTTCTATCACCCTTTCTCCAGAATGGAAAGACAGCACAGCTGGCATGCTGTTCATCTGAGGGAAACACCTTACTGCTGTTACACCCCTTTTCCCCAGCAGTTCGACTTCGCACACGCTATGCCATTAACTGCTTTCGGTTTAATCGCTATCCTAACAACCTTTCTGGTATGTTAGGACCTGCAGGAACAGTAGTTCCAGCCAGTGTAGCTTGTTGGGTCATTGCGTCGGTGGGCGAAGTCGTACTGCTGGGGAAAAGGGGTGTAACAGCAGTAAGGTGTTTCCCTCAGATGACCAGCATGTCAGCCGTGCTGTCTTTCCATTCTGGAGAAAGGGTGATAGAAAAGGTCCATCCCAACTTACCCTATGGTGGTCCGTAGTCGGCGGTAAGTTACTAATACGGAACCAAAGCAAAAAAAACCAGTTCATACACGCTACGTGCGACCGATCAGCCTCAAGAAGTTGTCTCCTGGGCTCTGCAGTCACGCAACACTAATTCTCTTTCTGTTTCAGGTACGCCAAGAATAAATCAATTTCTACAGTGTAAGTGGTGCTCGGGAGGCACAAACACGAGAGAGCCAGGCAGGCTTTAGACCAGGAAGAGGGTGTATTGATCATATCTTCACCCTCCGACAGATTCTAGAACATAGGGATTCCTACCGGCGTCCAACAGTCATTATATTTCTTGACCTACAGGTGTCATTCGTTTCTGTCGACTGAGAGGTTCTCTGGAGATGCTTGGCTGTGAAAGGAAGGGAGGCCGAGAAAATATATTGCACTGATTAAGGCACTCTACTCGTACTCACGCAACTAGGTGAGGGCTTACGGAGAGTTGTCATCTGAACTGATGACGACTAGTGATGTCCGTCAAGGATGCCCCTTACACCCATTTCTATTCAACTTCATCATAGATGTACTAATGGACTTAACCCTAGGTGACTTCAGTGACTCAGGGATTGACTTGCTACCGGGGAATAATCTCGTTGACTTGGAATATGCAGACGATATAGTCCTTCTAGGCGAAGACGCTGACGGAATGCAGAGTCTTCTAAACACCTTGAGCCGCAATCTACGAATGCTTGGCAGGCGATTCGCTCCCGCCAAATGCAAGATGATGTTACAGGACTGGACTACATCGACGCCTAGTTTAAAAATAGGAAGGAAAGTGGTAGAGCACGTTGACCGCTTCCCTTATTTGGGAAGTACCATCAGCCCCAACGGGCTGATCTCTGACGAAATCTCAGCACAAATACAGGGGCTCGTTTCGCATTTGTTAGTTTACGCCGACTCTGGCGTAGACGAGATGTTCGACTATCGACCAAAGGGCGGGTGTACTGCTCATCAGTCCGCTCCGTCCTCCTTTATGGTTGTGAGACCTGGCCACTGAGAGTGGAAGACATGAAAAGACTAGCTGTCTTTGATCATAGGTGCCTGCGTTCTATTTCCCGTGTAAATTGGCATAATAAGGTGAGCAACATGGAGGTTAGGCGTAGAGTTCTAGGTAAACAGGGGAAATCAATCGACGAAGTCGTGAAGCTACAAAGACTGAGATGGTTAGGACATGTGTTACGTATGCCAAGCCATCGCCTCCCTCGACGAGCAATGATAGCGGATATAGGGTCAGGCCGGAAGAAAGCTAGCGGCGGTCAAACAAAAACTTGGCACCAGTCAATGAAATCCACAACAGTTGGTCTAAGCCACGTAGGAAGGTGTAGGCTTCTAGGCTGGGGTCCTCGGGACGGTAAAAATCTATGGTTGGAAACAGTTGGTGACATGGCTCAAAATGGTTCTCAGTGGCGCAGATGCATCCACTCCTTGTGACTTATGATTTCCAATGAAACTGTTTTGTTTTTCTTTATTACTCCTTTGTCTCACACCTCTGCTCACTGTTTCTATTATGCTTTTCTTGTACTTTCTTCTCTTGCTTCGCGTGCTACACGGAGTGTGGCGACTTGAACTTCCGCACATTTGTGCAAAGTTCTATGTCGAAAACAGACAGACAGACAGACAGTGTAGGCAGGCGGGAAGTAACAACCACCTACACACTTCCAAGAGTAGACGAAGCCTTCAACAAGCCCACCGACGTAATTAAAATATAGACCAACCCAAACGTTTAAAGTGGAAATTGATGTTCTCACAACACTAAAAAAACACAATAACAAAGAAACCTCTAAACTTACCCTATCACTCCATTGGTAATGATATCCTAATGTTATCCAACGTAGTTTACAATACCATGGATTACTAGGAGATATTTCTATTAAGAGATTACTTTAGTTTAAAGATGAATAACCTACTTTTACTGTTTGTTATCACATCTGCGGTGGTGCTTAAATTATTCTCTGCTGACGGTAGATAACACCATTCAGTTAATGCAGCTAGTAACAAAGCGTCTATTTCATTCTCACTTAAAAAATTCTTAAATATAAAAAAATCTGTTTGGTTATACCTATCAACTGGCAAAATGATAAATAACTCACCTTCGTTAGGCAAATGCTGCACTGTACATATATCATGATGACGATCATTAAAAGGATTCTCCACACATAGTGTCTGTAGATGAGTATAGACGAAGGTTAAATGCCATAATACCTTTAAAACTGATTCGGCATATACGCATATCTGCATACATACATCTTGTGTATAGTCTAAAAGTTTGTAAAACTTAAAAATATTCTTCAAGTCCGAGTTGAGTTCTTCAGAATAAGCCATACAAGTTACACAGGTTTTAGAGAGAGTTTTGGTAACAAAACTTTCTAAAAAATATTTGCAGAGGAAAGAAAACATAAAGGGGAGAAAAATCGATAAACAGTAACTCCCCAACTCAGTCAAGAAATATGAACTGAACTCCTTGGAGATATTATGTTTACCAGATGAGTACAATTTTGTATCACTAAAAATCTTCAGATTTAATTATTTTTCACTGCGTGCCTGAGACAATAAGGATCATATAAAAACGTTAATTATTCCAAACATTTATACTTTAGTAATGCTCTAAATGGAGAGTTGTAGAAAACACCGCAGACAAAGCGAGTCTCAGATACCGAGGTAAATTGAAAAAAATTGGAATAATATACTTTCGTTAGCGTTATTACAAGACGGAGATTATCTGAAAAATGTGATGTATTTGCGCTATAGATTTCGAACAATCTGATCACACACACATTTACTTGTCAAGTCGATATATATGAAAAAAGTTAAATTAAACGAAGTGACAGAAAAAGGATTTCAGAATTATTAACACGTTTGGTAATCCAATCAAATAAGGATTACCAAGGTAGGTTAAGAGTAATGATAAACTGTTTTTGAATACACAGAGTGGGAGAGCTTAAATTTATGAATAGATATAGCCTCGGCGTATTTCAATAAGCGCCCTTGACCGTTTATATAGATGACTTTAAAGGCTGAGTTAACATCAATATTATGGTTCATCTCGATTAGGTGTTTGGCTATAGATGAAGTTGGTAGTCTGACACCTGCATCTATTGGTTTTTCGCAATTCATTTGTTTTTCTAACAATTTTGGGATATGCTCGCTGTCCCACCCTCACATGCAAAGCGCGATTACTCCTCCCCATGTATGTGTGACCACATACACGGAAATTGGTAAATGGTGTGGGATGTGATACAATCACTTGTGCACTTTTGAAGTTTGCAGTGGAGCGTATTTTTAGCTTTTTCGACAATTTCAAGGTGGGCTGCATTATAGGTTCTACGGATGATCAAATTCAACCTTTGTCTCAAAATCCTACTGTTTATTTCTCTGTCAGATGGTAATTTGATGAAAACATTTTTCTTAGGGGCGGTATGGATTGTAGCTTTAGAGACTAATTGACTTCTACACATGTTTAACAATTTTAAAGGATATCCGTTTTCAACAAGAGTATGATATGCGACGATCATGAAGATGCGAGTCGTCTATTAGACAGACTTAACTCTGTACAGAATCATGTAAGTCTAATATGCGAGGAAGAAAGACGAAACCAGCTTGCATTTTTAGACATATTTCTGAGTCGAAGAGATGATGGTTCAATGGGACGATCAATCTACAGAAAGCCCACTTGGACAGGGCAGTACTTTCACTTTCACAGTTTCTGTCCATTACAGTATAAGAGAGGCTTGGTGAAATGCCTATTTAAGAGGATTCAACGTATATGTACGGTTGATGTCATAGACAGAGAAAACGAAATATTGATGGATGCTCTTGTTGAAAACGGATATCCTTTAAAATTGTTAAACATGTGTAGAAGTCAATTAGTCTCTAAAGCTACAATCCATACCGCCCCTAAGAAAAATGTTTTCATCAAATTACCATCTGACAGAGAAATAAACAGTAGGATTTTGAGACAAAGGTTGAATTTGATCATCCGTAGAACCTATAATGCAGCCCACCTTGAAATTGTCGAAAAAGCTAAAAATACGCTCCACTGCAAACTTCAAAAGTGCACAAGTGATTGTATCACATCCCACACCATTTACCAATTTCCGTGTATGTGGTCACACATACATGGGGAGGAGTAATCGCGCTTTGCATGTGAGGGTGGGACAGCGAGCATATCCCAAAATTGTTAGAAAAACAAATGAATTGCGAAAAACCAATAGATGCAGGTGTCAGACTACCAACTTCATCTATAGCCAAACACCTAATCGAGATGAACCATAATATTGATGTTAACTCAGCCTTTAAAGTCATCTATATAAACGGTCAAGGGCGCTTATTGAAATACGCCGAGGCTATATCTATTCATAAATTTAAGCTCTCCCACTCTGTGTATTCAAAAACAGTTTATCATTACTCTTAACCTACCTTGGTAATCCTTATTTGATTGGATTACCAAACGTGTTAATAATTCTGAAATCCTTTTTCTGTCACTTCGTTTAATTTAACTTTTTTCATATATATCGACTTGACAAGTAAATGTGTGTGTGATCAGATTGTTCGAAATCTATAGCGCAAATACATCACATTTTTCAGATAATCTCCGTCTTGTAATAACGCTATCCAAATTTTTAAAAGGTACTAATTGTTTTAAATCTTTGGAATAATATACGCCAACTGAGTTTCAAAAATTCTTGATTTGAAAACAAAACAAACCAGTGGATGCAGCAGAGCTACTTACTGAGTGAAACACTCGAATTTCAAATGAGTCAATAGAGCAGAGTTAAAGAGTAACGATCTAAGGTGGGAAAAACACACAAACTAATGATTTTTAATCAGCCAATTGCATCAGCTTGGTTAATTTGGGCAGAAGAAGGAACATACAGGATTAAGCCTTTATATTAAATAGAAGTTTAATGAAAGGTATTCTGTCTAATATTCTTGACCTTTTTTAGCATACATTTGCAAATATGGAGGGGTTTGTACCTGGTTTCATTACCTTGATCTGATTGAGCATTCTGTCTGTCTGTCTGTTTTCGACATAGAACTTTGCACAAATGTGCGGAAGTTCAAGTCGCCACATTCCGTGTAGCACGCGAAGCAAGAGAAGAAAGTACAAGAAAAGCATAATAGAAACAGTGAGCAGAGGTGTGAGACAAAGGAGTAATAAAGAAATACAAAACAGTTTCATTGAAGATCATAAGTCACAGGGAGTGGATGCATCTGCGCCACTGAGAACGATTTTGAGCCATGTCACCAATTGTTTCCAACCATAGATTTTTACCGTCCCGAGGACCCCAGCCTGGAAGTCTACACCTTCCTACGTGGCTTAGACCAACTGTTGTGGATTTCATTGACTGATGCCAAGTTTTTGTTTGACCGCCGCTAGCTTTTTTCCAGCCTGACCCTATATCCGCTAACATAGCTCGTCGAGGGAGGCGATGACTTGGCATACGTAACACATGTCCTAACCATCTCAGTCGATGTAGCTTCACGACTTCGTCGATTGATTTCCCCTCTTTACCTAGAACTCTACGCCTAACCTCCATGTTGCTCACCTTATTATGCCACTTTACACGGGAAATAGAACGCAGGCACCTATGATCAAAGACAGCTAGCCTTTTCATGTCTTCCACTCTCAGTGGCCAGGTCTCACAACCATAAAGGAGGACGGAGCGGACTGATGAGCAGTACACCCGCCCTTTGGTCGATAGTCGAACATCTCGTCTACGCCAGAGTCGGCGTAAACTAACAAATGCGAAACGAGCCCCTTGTATTCGTGCTGAGATTTCGTCAGAGATCAGCCCGTTGGGGCTGATGGTACTTCCCAAATAAGTGAAGCGGTCAACGTGCTCTACCACTTCACTTCCTATTTTTAAACTAGGCGTCGATGTAGTCCAGTCCTGTAACATCATCTTGCATTTGGCGGGAGCGAATCGCATGCCAAACATTCGTAGATTGCTGTTCAAGGTGTTTAGAAGACTCTGCATTTCGTCAGCGTCTTCGCCTAGAAGGACTATATCGTCTGCATATTCCAAGTCAACGAGATTATTCCCCGGTAGCAAGTCAATCCCTGAATCGCTGAAGTCACCTAGGGTTAAGTCCATTAACACATCTATGATGAAGTTGAATAGAAAAGGAGATAATGGGCATCCTTGACGGACACCACTGGTCGTCATCAGTTCAGATGACAGCTCGCCGTAAGCCCTCACCTGGCTGTATGAGTACGAGTAGAGTGCCTTAATCAGTGCAATATATTTTCTTGGAATTCCCTTTACAGCCAAGCATCTCCAGAGAACTTCCCGATCGACAGAGTCGAATGCTGCCTTTAGGTCAAGAAATATAATGACTGTTGGACGCCGGTAGGAATGCCTATGTTCTAGAATCTGTCGGAGGGTGAAGATATGATCAATACACCCTCTTCCTGGTCTAAAGCCTGCCTGGCTCTCTCGTGTTTGTGCTTCCCGAGCACCACTCAGTCTACGCATGATTATTGAGCCTAAGACTTTAGATACTATATTAGTCAAGCTAATCCCTCTGTGATTATCACAGGAAGACTTGTCTCCCTTCTTGTATATGGGGATAATCAGTGACTTACACCAACCCGATGGGACTTCTTCTGATTCCCAAACGCTGCCTAGTACCTCAGTTAATCCGGACAGTAAGCTGTCTCCACCGTACTTAAATACCTCTGGCGTCATTCCATCAGGTCCCGCTGCTTTGCCTAGTTTCAGATTGGTGACAGCTTTAGTAACCTCAGTTAGTGACGGAGGACCTGTATCTATATCCCATTCAGGGAGGTGTTGGATGCTCGGAAGGTTGAGCGTGGCTGTGGGCAAATTAAACTGCTCCTCATAATGCTCTTTCCAACGATCCAGTCGTCTATCCTGGAGCTAATTATAGTGCCATTTTTTTCCGAGATTGTCTCACTAATGATTTGTCTTCTCCCACCCGTTTCCCTGATGAGTCCAAAGAGTTGCCTGGTGTTGCCTATCCTCAAAGCTTTCTCCATCTCTTTGGCTTTTGTCGCCCACCACTGTTCACGGTCCTTGCGGAGACTTTTCGTAAGTTTCCTCTTGTGCAGCTTTCGCTCCTCATTGAATTCGGAGCTCGCCGGAATAAGTCTTCTAGCATCTATCAGTTCGGATGAGGCGGTGGAGATCCAGTGGTTTTTACTCACCTTTGGGTTTACCTTATTCACAGCTTTTACAGCTGTATCTATGGCTGCCTGGATATTTTTCCAAGCTTCTTCAGGGTGAGCACAGCTGTCGAACACAGATATGTGTTTAGCTAGTTCTTCCTCAAATACGGATTTAGTTTCCTGATCGAGCTGGGGACGTGATGGTTTTACCGCCAGCTGTTTCCTACGTCCGTTCAGTCGTAAGCACACCCGAGCGCGGACCAGTGCATGGTCGGTATCTACGCACGTGTTCCAGAAGGAGCGACAATCTCCTACCGACCCACGCCAACGATAGCTTATTGCTATGTGGTCTATTTGTGTCCAGCGTTGGTTTGATGAAGGGGGTCTCCAAGTCAAACAGTGTCTCTCCTTGTGTTTGAAGTTAGTGCTTACAAGAAACAAATGATTATCAGAGCAGAACTGTAGGAGACGGTCACCGTTGTCGGTTCGCTGGCACGGAACTCCATAGGTGCCACCGACATCCTTCTCAGATTGACACAATTTCCCTACTTGAGCGTTAAAGTCACCAGCTAGAACGACTATGTCTGAGCGTTTAGCCAAACTAGACAAACTAGATTGAGCATTCAAAGGTTATGAGTTTACTCGTTCTCTAAGATAGCTATGTCTTTCTTGACCCGCAGTCCTTGTCGATAAGTGCCAGGATTTGACTAACCTAGACTATTGACATAAATGCGTAAATGAATCCGTGGTTAGTACTGTTGTCCAGCATATCTTAACAGTTAACTGGTCCAGTCAATAAATGGAAGTCAAGCCAAGCTGACAATAATCCTGAAGTAAATCTCGCAAATTATCAACTAACTCTAACTTTCCATAACGAGTAAATTCTGAAATGGTTTGATTTTCCACATAAACTAGAACTCAGTCCTGGTTTTCAGCATGACTCGCACTAATTCAACACCCTGTAATTTTCTAGGCATTCTCAAGAGTAGATCACAACCTACTGGATTCATTTATTAACCTTATTTCAGACCAGATTTAGCACTTACTGGCATTACTTGGGGACAATCAGACTTAGTGCTTGTTCTAATTTCAAACAAACTGTAGGTCACAATGAAAAAAATAGGTCCTGATAAGCGTGAAGTCATCGGTCGTCGTTCGGAGGGAAGGATGACATTTCCTTATAGGAATCACACCCTGAAAAGTGATAATATATTCCATGGTAAGGTACAACCAAGTCACCATCGGGACAGAACTTGTATTGGGGAATTGCCACTTGACATCGTCAAATCATTCCGTTTGGAGCCCATACATCTTATATACCCTGTTGTTAAGGAATTGGTGTTCTCGCAGCTCGGTGAGAAGAGCAAATGGATTGCATATATAGATAACAGACTGCGAGTAGGAACTTCATTCCTTCCAACTTTCAGAGGAAATGTCGGTCGCTAGCTGAGGTTAGCTAATGGAAGGCAACCGAGTGTAGACTTTTCCTATTATATATTTGGGTCCCGTCCTACTGAGGATCGCTGTCACTGCTCTGTACTCTAATTTCCGAAGATTATGCCTGACAGTATACTTACTGTCAAATTCTAAATACAGCCGTCTGTTTTTGGATGCTGTTCGGACAGATTTAAGTAATTCCTTGCTGCACTATGAGAATTGTTTCAGAAGTGGACATATTGCTTACAGTATTTATTCCCTAAAACATAGTCGGTGACGTCCAGCTGCACTAGCCACTAGAAGGATTTAGTGCATTTCCTTTCGAATCTCCTATATGCGTGAGTTCAGACAGTCCGTTCGATGTGAATATGCTGTGACCAAGCAGGCAGTTCAGCCTTATGCTGAGCAAGTTTACCTAGTGTAAAGTACAGGTGCAAAGCATGTACCTAAAGAAGCTGTTACTAATAGCGTTGAGTTTGCTCAACAGCAGTTAGATTTCTCGTCGTTCGTTTGGTGAAAGACGACAGTATAGTGGCTAATCCAGACATTTGAGCTGTGTCAAATGGTTTATATGCATATAACAGCCCTGGAAAACCACTTCGAGCCGGCGTTTACTGGGGATGGATGGTCATTATTTGAATTCCGTCAACTTCGGGAATATTGTAAGTTGGAATACTCATATGACCTTTCTAGACACGTTTGAGAATTGTAAAAAGTCTAAAAAGCTCTTGAGAAGCTAAGCAATAAAAATGTAGACACTAAAGACGACACCTTACCAATGGTTAGTAATGAACCGAAGAAGTACCGTTTTCTGTGTCTCACATATTTTCAAGGAATGCGAAGACTGACAAAGACCTTATTTACAACTCAGTGGATATTGATGTAGCTGCCAGCGAAGTCCGTTGCATCAAACCACAATATCCAGTTTTGAATATGTTCGATCAATTGGTCCCCCGATTCCAATGTGTCAAATTAATCAAATGCCATTCATTTTAAGTACCTCAAATGCCCCGAGCTCCCATTCATCTCCTATTGGCGAAAGGACTACAACTGTATCTAACCAGTAAGAATAAATGTGAATTTTTTGTATACTTACTTTAGATTGTCATCTAACGAAGCTAACAATGAGATGTTGACTCTTCACAGGCAAGGGCTCGGTAAGTATTTACAAATAATCATTTACTTCAAGAATCGTCATTGGAAATCCTCAACTGGTGTAAGGAAATCCTGAACATGCTAGAAGCATCTTTAAGAGATGATAAGTATGAGGGGATATTTGTGAGTTCGCGTACTTAATTTTCACTTTTTGTAGAGAGTTGGAGTAGTTAGCTACCTAGAGTGTTATCCAAAGTTGTCACTTAAAGTCATAATCTTTCATCTCGTTCATGTCACCTTCGGACGCTCAACTCGCTATTTCTGATTCGGATCATAATCATGCGATGACCTGTCGCGCGATATCACTAAACAGTCTTCTCCCAGTCCAGCCGATTCATCTCCATTTGTTGAGGAATCGGTTCTCGATCGGTTCATTCCCAGATTTCCTTATTACTAATTCCTTTCGGCCAAGTATCTGATCTTTAGAATGGAGGTAGCGACGAGGGCAGCTGTTGATGAAATGGTTTTGGTGACGCGTGTGTCAAGTTTCTGATCCACATAAAAGAAGAACTGACTAACTTGTAACTGCTGTTGAAAATTCAAATCTTATTCGTTGGTCTACTTGCAGCAGATTCCCACCATGATTTTAGATTTTTGATAGTCTGTGTCTTGTCCTGACGTTCCTCCCTTTGACATCCTCATACGTGCGTACAGCCTGTAGTTGAAATGATGTTGACCAAATAAGAGAAAGATGTGACCTCGTTCAAATTTTTTCCACTTGTAGTAATACATATATCAACCTCATGTATATATACATCTTATGCGGTTGATAGTGTTTAGTGGAAGAATCCACAGCCGGGGCGTTTCATCCCATTTCAGGCTCGTCAGCTGGATATGTACAGCTGCATTTCAATCAATCGATGGGGAATACAAAAAGTAAGCTAAATAAACCTGTGCATATATAAAATTATTTAACTTACGTATATAATTGGAACTATAAATAGTATAATTAGACATAGTCTCAGGATCAGTAACAGATCTTTTGCGCGGTAAAACCTGAGCATACAAATGACTAGAGAGAGTTGTCTAGAAAAAGGGAAAACAAAAAGGAGGAGAGATAAATAGAAAAATTCCGACGATATACTTGAGTGTTTTGAAACAAAATGTTCCCTACACACGGCATCAACTCTTAGTGTTAGTAAGCGTTACCCAACTACTACTCAATAAGCCACACCTTCGGTTGGACACTAGTAACCAGTCGGATGTGTCTAGTCCTTTTTTTGGTGCAGACTGAATTCTATCAGTCAGTCAGTCAGGTTAGCAATGTGGCCACCGTGCCACTAGGTAGCTCGTCATTACGGTGTACATTGATTTGATGACATTAGATGGTTGGAGGAAATCGGCGGGAAGCTCTTTACCTAGGCTTTGTGTTAGTTGGCACCCACCAGTCAGTCAGCAAGGCATACTTGCAGCCTTGAAGGAACTCATGTCCCTTCTGAGATTCAAACCCGTGTCACTCCCTTCAAGATTGCAGATATGCCTTGGTGACTGGTGAGTGCCAAGGTACAGAGCTTCCTACCGATTTTCTCCAACCATCTCATATCATCAACCCATACCTTATTGTATGAAGGATGCTGATACTAAGTAGCTGCCCAAAACAGACACCCACCCTACGGCTTAAAGTCGAGACACACACACAGAGAGAGAGAGCACCTTGACTAATAGACAACAGTTCCGCTAAGTGAAGAAACCCACGTGTTTTCTCCTAACTTGAGAGCCTTCTGACGGTCCCATAGGTGAGTGAATAATATTTTAGAGTTCCATATGATAGCTGGTTGGTTTGAGTGTTAATGGAAACACCGTTCATGACAGGTAACCTTGTTTAGTCAGTTATCAATATTGCATAACCATTAGAGGAGTTGAGATTGAATTTCTGGTGTAGACGTAATATCTAGCTGGTTATCAATCAGAGGACATGTAGACTGCACAACAACTCACCCACGTCCTCCTTTATGACTGTCAGCTAAAGCCATTGAAGGTGGAAGACATGAAAAGGCTACCTATCTTTGACTATAGATGTTTGCGTTCTATCTTCCATGGCGGTTAGGCGTAGAATGTTAGGTAAGAATGGTAACTCAATCGATGAGCTTGTGAAGTCACACAGATTGAGATAACTAGAACGTGTGTTGCACATGCCGACAGTCATCGTCTTCCTCTCGACAGACAATGTTAGTCAACATAGGATTAGGTTGAAAAAGAGTTAGAAGTGATCACATCAAAACCTCACACCAATCCATTGAAGTCTTAGACTGTTGGTTTGAGCCAGCCACGTAAGGGAACTGTAGACTACCTACCTGGTTGGAGTGTCCTCGAGATCCTAAGAACCGACAGCAGGGAAGACAATTGGCGATATTGGCTTAAAATCATTCTCAGTGGTCTGTCTGTCCGTCTGTTTTCGACATAGAACTTTGCACATATGTGCGGAAGTTCAAGTCACCACACTCCCTCCATGTAGCACACAAAGCAAGAGAAGAAAGTAGAGAAATGCATAATAAAGACAGTAAAAAGAGGTGTGAGACAAAGGAAGAGTAATGACGAAGAACAAACAGTTTCATTGGGAATCATAAGTCACAAGGAGTGAATGCATCTGCGTTAGCCATTGACAACGATTTTGAGCCAAATCACCACCAATTGTTTCGAATCTTCATTGGTTTTTACCATCCCGAGGACCCCAACTAGACTGGCAGTCTACACCTTCTGATGTGGCTGGCTGGCTTAAGACAACGGTTGTGGATTTCATCGACTGATGAAGCCATGTCTTCATTTCACCATGACTGACCAACTATTTTCCAACCTGATCCATCTTATGTCAGCTAACACTGCTCTTCGTCGAGGAAAGCTGTAGCTAGGCAGGCATGCGTGAGAAACACATTTCCTAACCATCTCAATCGGTGTAACTGTTTCACAACCTCGTCGATTGATTTCTTCTCCTAACCTCAATACATCTGCCCTATTATACCACCCTGACGCGGGAGATAGAAGACAGGCACTTATGATCAAAAACAGCTAGCTGCTAGCCAGTCTTTTCATGTCTTCCACTTTCAATGGCCATGTCTCACGCACAGCCATAAAGAAAGATAGAGCGAATTGCTGAGAGGTACACACCTCCTTTGATTGACAACCAGCCGGATATCACGTCTACTAAGCCAGAGACGGCACAAACCGGTATAAGCGAAACGAGCCTTCCGAATCCGTGCTGAGATTTCGTTAGCGATCAACCGGTTGTGGCTGATGCAACTTCCTAAATAAGTGAAGGAAATGGTCAACACGTTCCACCCAACACTTTACTCACTATTTCTAAGCTAGGAGTCAATGTGGTCCAGTCATATAGCCGCATCATTTAACAATTAGTGGGAGTGAATTGCATGTCAAACATTTGCAGATTGCAGCTCAAAGTGTTCAGAAGACACTGTATTATGTCAGCGTTTTCAGCATATTCTAAGTCACCGAGATTATTCCCTGCTGGAGACAAGTGAATTCTTGAGTCGCTGAAGTCAATTAGCGTTAAGTTCATTAGTTGTGTGCTAAATAAGCATGTGGCGACTTAAACGTGCTACACTTCTGTACAAAATTCTACGTTGAAACTCGGTCAGTCAGTCAGTCGATCATTCTCTGTTCATTAGTAAGTAGTCCGTCAGTCTTTTCTCAGGAAGGCTTCGTGTGCTTTTGGAAGTGTATGGGCGGTTGTTACTTCCTGGCTGCTCACACCGTGGAAGTTGATTGATTCTTAGGGTACTTGAAACAGAGAGAGGGTTAGTGTTGCCTGACCACAGAGACCAGGAGACAACTGCTTGAGGCGGATCGGTCACACACAGCCTGTATGAAATGGCTTTTAGGTTTGGTTCCGTGTTAGTAACTTGCCGCCGGTTACGGACCACAGTAGGGTAAGTCGGAATGTACATTTTTCGGTGTTGACGTTTACTAACCCCCTCTCTCCAGAATGGAGAGACAGCATAGCTGGTATGCTGGTCATCTGATGAGGGAAACACCTCACTGCTGTTACATCCCTGTTCCCCAGTAGTACGACTTTGTCCCACAGGCCTTTAGAATAAAGTAAAAAATAGTCTTCCTCTATGCCGGTAACTGCTTTTAATCTAATCGCTATCCTAACAACCTTCCTGGCATGGTAGGACCTGCAGGAACATTGATTCCAGCCAGTGTAGCAGCTACCGGTCGGGCGTCAGTTTTTTGATATTTACAATGAACAAAAGTGTCAAAGAACACAGAATACACAGAATAAAACTTACACAAGAGCATACACAGCAATCTCCATGATTTCCAGGCATTTGAGAAGTTGCTTGTTGTTTTCCTGAATGACATTCACAAGGAAAATTGTTATTTACACCAGCACAACCATCACCACAGCTTGGCGGCATATTTGAAATATCTGTAGGAAGTGTAGTTACAGTCATAGTTGTTGCTACTCCTGTTGTTGTTGTCGGCTTCGTTGTCATAGCAACAGGAGTAATAGCAGTAGTATTAGTAGTAATGATTAACTCGCCATACGGGTTACCTTTACCACTGCTATTATTATTATTGTTTTTAATATTATTTTTACTATTCTCATTGCTCACATCACAATCATCATTTAATTGTGAGTAATAAGGTGATTGACAAATTTCATATCCTAATATACACAAGTATAATAGTAAAAAGAGAGATCGAAGGATAGAAATCAATCAATAAATTCAGAATCCTACACCAACAACAATAAATAAATAAAGATTATGTATATATAGACGTTTTGGAGGTGTGACAGTCTGTCAAATAATGTTGTTTAAATGTTCAAGCGCTGATTTGCGCAGACTTAATTGATTGATTCTGGAAGTTAGATTTTATCTTATGTAACGAAGTAGTGATATGGTGTGGCCTGTTTAAACACTTGACCTGCGCGCTACCAGAATTTCCGTCTATCTATCTATTACATAATGCTGTTTAAAGCCTTCTGCATTTTCTCTGATTGTTTTCATATCATTAAAAAACCACCACACTGCGTGCATAAACTCGCGCGCATATTTTTATTATTACTATATTATTGTTTCCTTCAGTTTCTAGAGGAACATAGGGCTTCAGCCAGTCGCACGTCTCCATTGAGCGTTCGGTTGTCTACCAACATTTTCACCTGGCTTCATGTTTGCCCACATGCTTCCACCTACACTTCACATCACCTACTCCTCCGTGTCATCCTCGCACTGATCACCAACTAACTCGCCTCTTCACATTCAGGTTCCACTCGAGCAATGGCCTGGTGTGTGATTTCACTCACTTGATGGTTTTCTCAGATTATGGCCAATCCACTTCCATTTCTTCCTGCATATTTCATGCACTGGTTCCTGCTGAGTTGGTTCGCTCCCAGAGATAAGTTGCTGTTGCTGATCTTTTTTGGCCGGCCATCTGATCTTCAGTAGTATTGACCGAAGACAGCTAGTTGTTGATGAAGGTCTGTAGTTTGTTTGAGGTGCTCTTTACGATGCGCTAAGTCTCTGATCCATATAGCAAGTAGCACTGACCTCACATTGGAGTTGAAAATCTGGATCTCGTTTTTCATGCTCAGTGCTGGTGACGTCCACACAGACTTGAGAGAAATAAATGCTTGCCTTGATTTCCTGATCCTTGCTTTGATATCCTCGTCAGTTCCGCCTGTAGCTGAAACGATGCTTCCCAAGTAGGTAGAGGAGGTTACTTCTTTCAGATTTCTCCCATTTATGCTGAATGTTGTCTATTGTTGTTGTTGCTGTTACTGCTGGTCAGGAGTCTTCATCACTTCTGTTTTCTCTATGTGCTATCTTTGATGCTTCTTCTGCCCACCTGTTGCCTTCCATATGCAAATCTTCCAGTTTGTGGGAAGTCAAACATATATCACATCGATGAAGTTGAGATCCTCCTAACTGTTTGTGTTGGTCCATTTTAAGCTCGTTTCCTCGTTGCCCGGCCCACTCTCTGTCGCATTATCCAGTCTACCGCAATCAGGAAAATTATGGTAGATAGTAGGCGGCCTAGTTTTACACCCGTCTTCACTCCGAAGGATTCGGTGAGTTTCCCGTTGTGGATTATTTAGCATGCAGTATTATCGTACAACTGTTAGATAAGGTACATAATAGCGGCCGCACCCCTTGGTAGTAAGCGAAGTAGTTTCCAAATCACCCCCTCGATCAAAGCTGTTGATTTAATTAGCTTCCAGCTAAATACAACACACTGTGCGATTCTTGTAGGGAATGAAGAAGAAGTGCACAGAATTGTTTTTCTCTTCATTTCCGACAACACTACGACGTCAGATGATATGCTTGAGATTATTACTTGACATATATATCCAGAATGAAGACGAAATATTTCGGAATTAAATACAATGAAAAAAGTGCATCGCAAGGCATAGAGGTTAGGACGCTCACCAACCATGCACATGGTCCGGGGTTAGATCCCCGGCCGATGCACGCCTTTACCTCACTTAGTTAGTAATAAGACTGGTAAAGAGGGAAGGTTGGGCATGGGGCTAGCAACCCTATCCTGTAAAAATAAACACCACAGCTACAGAAGCTTCTAGCCTCTAGCTTGAAGCCCCCTATGTTCCACTGGGGAACGTGAAGGAAAAAAATTCTTTATACTGTATATCTGTACATATTGTCTGAAATAAGTCATTATATTGAAAACTATTGAGTACAAGATGACTGTCCAGCATCCAACTAAGGACAGAAATAGGCACCTATGACCTCCATCGGGGATCGAACCTAGGTTGTAAGGCATTGGCGGAATGACTTCAAGAGACTACAAATAGTGTTTCCCTGTTTCTAGTTGCTAGCCTTACTCTGAACAAAACGTTTACACACTATACAGAATTCACTGTTGCGTAATACCTTTCCTCTTCACCCAGAATCTTCAGGAAAAATAGCAGTCTACAATATTTTTTTATTCCTTTACGTTCCCAATGGAACACAGGCCGCCCCTTCTAGCTAGAGGCTTGAAGTTTCGGTAGCAGTAGTGTTTTTAATTTTACGGGGGAATGGGGTTGCTAGCCAGCCTCATGCCCAACCTTGCCTCTTGACCAGTCTTATTACTGGCTTAGTGAGGTAAAGGAGTGCATCAGTGGCCAGGGATCGAGTCCCGGACCACCTAGTTGATTGGTGAGCATTCTACTACTGTGCAACCGAAGCCCAGTAATCTCTACATAGCCAAATGATGCATACCATTATCCGCAAATTACCATTTGCACAGATCTTCCGGGTTGTGCTACTTCTACCTTTCTCACTGTATTCCTTTCACTTCGTCTCCCATGTATCTTCACAACGCTGAATTATTTGCTTTCTCTGACAACAAATCTATCCCGCCCCCGCCATTTAATGTTTATATATATATATATATATATATATATATATATATATATATATATATATATATGCTACTGGTAACTCTTGTCAGTAGTACATGCCACACTGTGACGCAGTGCTGCTTTTTAGATCTGAAGCAAATATCAATCCCTTGTAATATCTTTTCCTTCATAGCTTGAGAAATACGTACTAGTAGTTTGAAAGCCAATTGAAAATGAGTGTTGAGTACATTTCGCAACTCAGGGATATAATTGAATGGTTGGGACAAAAAGAATCAGGGAAAATATGATGAATTCAATTGTGTTAGGTGAAAATTCAAGTAGCCCAGAGTTATTCAAGCAAGCCGCCATTTATCACATGGTTAAGAGTAACGTAGAGAACACCTGTCTTTGCAATAGCATTTTAACAGTGGGAGGAAAGTTAGAATAAGTGTGTGGGCAGTTATCAATTTTTGCAGCTGTTCACACTGTCGAAGAGTATTAGGGTGCTGTGTGACACACACCACAAAAACCAGGAGGATAACTCCTTGAGACTGGTGTTCCACCCACAACCTGTTTCGGAGTTGTGTACGTGCATAAAAGGATCTTATCATCGGCTATGGACTGTCATAGAGTAAGTCGGGATATACTAATATTAAGGTGTTGACTGTTTTTGAATCCACCCTTCTCCTCTTCCTCCACACAGAGAAAAGGAATCACACCTATGTGCACCGGTAGTACGAATATGCATGCCCTCAGACCCCCCCCCCGCCTAACACAGTGTTTAATCCCTGACCAAACCACATTTCAGGCATGATATTATTTTTTTTTTTTTGGTTACAGATTGATTCCACACAGTACTTTTCGGTACAAGGATTGAATTTTCAACATATGATATATCGGTAGCGCAAATTTTGCAGGCCAACCATAGATATCAGGTGTGCGTTGGCGGCCGGAGGTTCGAACCCCAGACCATTTGCATGGTCGGCGACAGTCCTAACCACTGTGCCACCGACGCACACAGGCACATATTTGCTAAGAAACAATGTAGCTGTCGCTGTCACTGTGACATACAAGCCTAACCATCACATCATGTCAAGATTACGGCTATCGGGTCAACAAAACAAAAAATGAAGGGACCAAGCTCTAGGGAATGACAAAAATTGATTTTGAAAGTTAAATGAATACTTTAACAGAGAAATAAGCAACACATTGTACTTGATTGAAGTGTCATTCATCAAATGGCATTCTATCTATCGTCATGTCTTAAATCAAATAAACAAACTTATACAGAACTGAATCTTATCTTAGTTTAACCACAATTAGAAACATTTCACAAACCAGCAGACATTACTTCTGTCAATATTTTAAGTTTAAATAGTAGTCAAGGTGATGGAACAAGCACTCCTCACGCCCAATCCCCCGCACCACCCATCCTTCTTGGTCTACCTATTGGTTAGTGAACTAGGCGAGGTTTAAGAGTACACTGGCCAGGGAATTTATCCTAACTATGTATGGATGTCATCCATTCTGTGTCAGTGAACCAGCACCGACGCGGTGAGATTTGATAATACAAACCAACCAAACTTAAGTAGGTAAAGTTCAAGAGTTAGTTTATAGGGAAGTTGATTTGTCTAAAATTTTGATTACACACTAATATCAAGTTAAAGAACCATTGAAAACTAGGGAGTACTGGACAGCTGTTTCATCCTAGTTCAGCAATCTTCATCACTGCACACCTGTGAACCACCTAACCAGGGGACCCTTTAGGCTACATGGTCAAGCTTGCTCACCATTCAGCCACTTAGGCTGTATAATTCAATAACCCAAGAATTCTAACTTCTGTTAATTCTTGATTTTAGCGTGACCACCAGCCAATGTCATCAGCCGACCTGTTCGACGCCCCCTCCCCTTCGCTGGACATGACTTTTCACTAGAAATCCATGAAATTTGGTCCAGCAGTCAGTCGCTACTGCGTTCTAGTGAGACGTTCCGAATGGTGGGGTCCACCAGGTTGGGTGTGAGGGCAAATATTAATGCCAAACAGTCAATTTCACCTTTAGGCATAAATCTGACCTCTAAACAAACTGATTAGGTTGCACTCACGAGGTGTGCAACATAAATGGCACTGAAATAGAGACCAAGTCGGAAATTAAATACCTAGGCGTCCTTCTATCTGCTGATCTCTCCTGGTCGTCTCATATCTTGATGATTTCTAAGAGAATATTCCGTCTTACCTTCTACATCAAGAAGTTAAGACATTCTGGTATAACCCAACCCTTACTCATACGATTCGTTAACTCTCGCATTCTGCCTATTATTCTCTATTGCTCCCCCTTAGTTTTACCAGGGCTACTGAAGAAGGACTATATCTTATTACGCAGGATGTTAAAGGTTGTCAGCAGGGTAAGCCACAGGGTGCCACTTAACCAGCTGGTTGATATTCTGGTCGACAGACACTTGGACTCATGTGAAAAAATGGGCTAAATCCATTCTATCTATCTAACTCACACCACCCTCTTCATTCACAACTCTCCCCTTTGTTTCTATCGCATCAGGCAGGGAAACCAGAAGCCTCTATAGAAAACTATATACTCGCACTAGTAAGTACAAAAACTCAACCATAACCTCCCTAATTAGCTCGTGTTCTGTGCGATGAAGAAAGCATTAGGCGTGATATCTATAACTTATTAAATAGTCAGTAGAACAACTGGATCTCGTCTTTCCAACTCATATCATTTGTGGTTACAACGTTTTCTTTCTTTCTTTTCCTTTTCTCTCTCTCTTTTTCTCTGTTATGTGCTGCTTTGTTTCATTCTTCTGCTTACGCTAGTAAATATGCTAGTATCTACTTTTCTAGCACCTTCAAACATTCTGTTCACTTTTGGCTTTGCTACCGACATGCCAATATGTTGTTGTCTAAACGAACTGAGACTACCCTTAATCTATGTAGAATTTGATTTAATGTTAATGTACTAATTGGATGCAATACTGTAGTAAAATGCTGAGAATTCCATTCTGTATCACAAATACTGTTTAGGAATAAAGCAAATTATTATTATTATTAATACTCGCTGAAAACGCAAAAATTTCAAACTGACAGTAGTTAGAATTCATGTGTTATTTAATTATAGCCCAGAAGGCTGGATAGTTAATGAACTTGTCCTCATAACGTGAACGTCCCTGTTCGACACCTGGAAGGATCTTGGATGTGTTCTGGTGAAGAGTACTAGCACTAGGATGAAAATACTGTCCAGTACTCCCTGATTTTCCATGATTCCTTAACTAAGAATTACTAGACAAGATCAAGATGAACGCGCAACAGGTCTCAATAGCGAAGAGTCCTACCGCACACACACACAGACGATATGACACAGAATTACAGAATATACAACAAGAAGTACACAACAACAACAGCACTTACTTCTTTGAGTATTACTATTAACTTTGGTATTTTGTAAATCTCTTCGCAGAGTACTACTGCTATTCGGAGCAGTAACAATGACAGATGAAGTAGTGGATTGTGCAGTTTGATGATGAGGCGGAGGAGCTGGAGGAAGAGGTAGAGGTAGTGGTGGTGGGGGAACAGATGGTGGCGGTTGATTAACACTTGCATACAGCCCGTCCGAATCTGAAGCAGCATCATCACACAGGGAAGAATAACATCGACTATTCGACTCGAAAGTGTTTGTTTGCAGCTTAATTCGTTGTTGTTGTTGTTGTTGCAGCTTAGGTATAATAGCGATATCATATAGATTTTGATCATTTTCTATTGATCGTTTAACAGCTGGTACTGAATAATACGTCAGCTGATCACTAATATCCTCTAGGGTATCCGCTTGTTCATGATTTATTGTCTTTATCGGTTTATTATTCTGCATAGAATAGACCGAGGGAGGGGAAGGCGTGGAGAACAATGACAACAATTATTGTGAGTAGTTATTTGTTTAACAGTATAATGACATAAACACAATACACTGCGTTAAAACAATCGGCTGAGTTTTACATCCATTATATTATCTCTCTGTGTCTCTGTCTGTTTTCGACATAGAACTTTGCACATATGTGCGGTAGTTCAAGTCGCCACACTCCTTCCATGTACCACACAAAGCAAGAGAAGAAAATAGAAGAAATGCATAATCGAGACAGTAAAAAGAGGTGTGAGACAAAGGAAGAGTAATAACGAAGAACAAAACAGTTTCATGGGAATCATAAGTCACAAGGAGTGGATGCATCTGCGTTAGCTATTGAGAACGATTTTGAGCCATGTAACCAACTGTTTCCAACTATTGGTTTCTACCGTCCCGAGGACCCCAACCAGTCAGGAAGTCTACACTTTCCTATATGGCTTAGACTAACTGTTGTAGATTTCATTGACTGTTGCCAAGTTTTTGTTTGACCTTCGCTAGCTTTTTCCAGCCTGACCCTATATCAGCTAACATTGCCAGTCAGTCGAGGAAGGCGATGACTAGGCATACGTAACACATGTCCTAACCACCTCAGTCTTTGTAAATTCACAACCTTGTCGATTGATTTACCCTCCTTACCTAGAACTCGACGCCTAACCTCAATATTGCTCACCTTATAATAATAATAATAATAATAATAATAATTGCTTTTTTCCAAAAACAGTACTCATGATACAGCAAGGAATTTTCAGCATTCAGTACAATATTGCATCTAATTTACTCAAAAACGACACACGGGAGATAGAGCGCAGACGCCTATGATCAAAGACAGCTAGCTAGTCTTTTCATGTCTTTCACTCTCACTGGCCAGGTCTCACAGCCATAAAGGAGGAGGAAGTGGACCGATGAGCAGTACACCCGCTTTTCGGTCGATAGTCAGATATCACGTTTACGCCAAAGGCGGCATAAACTGGCGAGTGCGAATCTAGCCCTCTGTATCCGTGCTGAGATTTCGTCAGAGATCAACCCGTTGGCACTGGCTGGTGGTACTTTCCAAATAGGTGAAGTGGTCAACACTCTCCACCGACCACTTCACTCCTTCCTATTTCTAAACTAGGAGTCAGTGTAGTCCAGTCCAGTCCAGTCCTGTCCTGTAACATCATCTTACATTTGGCTGGAGCGAATCGCATGCCAAACATTCGTAGATTGAGGCTCAAGGTGTTCAGAAGACTCTGCTCTATTTTGTCAGAGTCGTCGCCTATGAGGACTATATCGTCTACATATTCTATTCTAAGTCAACGAGATTATTCCCACCCTGGTAGCAAGTCAATCCCTGAGTCGCTGAAGTCACTTAGGGTTAAGTCCATTAGTACATCTATGATGAAGTTGAATAGGAAAGGGGATAATGGACATCCTTGACGGACACCACTAGTCGCCACCAGTTCAGATGACAGCTCACCGTAAGCCCTCACCTGGCTGATGGCATGAGTTCTAGTAGAGTGCCTTAATCAGTGCAATGCATTTTCTCGGAATTCCCCTTACAGCCAAGCATCTCCAGAGAACCTCTCAGTCGACAGAGTCGAATGCTGCCTTTTAGGTCAAGAAATATAATGACTGTTGGACACCGGTAGGGATCCCTATGTTCTAGAATCTGTCGGAGGGTGAAGATATGATCAATACATTATATTACATACATTATATTATAATACATTATATAATATTATAGTTATTATTATTATATAATGTTATTATTATAATATAATATATAATAATAATGATAATAACAATAATAATAGTAATAGAACAAATAATACAGTGAGGCGTTCGAAATGCATACCGAAGTAAGATAAAGCTGTCTCTTATCACCGATGATATTTTTAATTGTGGTGGACTGACTGGATCATGCGTCAGACTGTGCAGACTGTGGGGGCGAGGAGACAGGAAGGGGTTGGACGGACAATAAGACTCTAGAAGATCTGGATTTCGAGACGGATAATTTATGTCTAATGTTACAGAAACTCGAAGACTTACAGGCGAAAACCAACAGGCTGGCTGAAGAGGCAGCAAAGACAGGTCTACAGGTGAACATAGAGAGAAGACGGAGGTGATGAAGACAACCAAAGAACCGCAACAACAACAACAACAACAACCGGCATCAACCAACATCAACGGGAGAGATTTGAGAGAGAGAGAGAGAGAGGTTACTTCCTTCACTTATCCAGTCACGAAGCACGGTTTCAACCACAGGTGGACAGCACCGATGAAGATGTCAAAGCTAATCAGCTAGAATCCGAAAGGCGAGATACGCCTTCATCAACCTGAAACCAGTTTGGAAATCTTCTACACTCAGTCACTCACTCACTCAGCATAAGGAACAAGATTCGAATTTTCAAGAACCAATGTGAAGTCAGCCAGTGCTTCTATACGGGTCAGAAACTTGACCAGTGTGTCACGAAAAAGATTTCCAACAGGTCATTGCAGACTTTTATCAACACCTGCCTTAGCTGACTCCATACTGAAGATCAAATGGCCGGCCGGCCAGAAAGAATTAGTAACGGGAAACTGTGGAAACGAACCAACCAAGAGCTGAGATAGCTCAACAAATATGTAGGAGAAAATGGAGATAGATCGGGTATACATTGAGGAAACCATCGAATGACATTGCGCGCAGGCCATCAAGTGGAATCCCAATGGGAAGCGACGAGTGGGTCGTCAGTACGAGGGTAACATGGAGGAGATTGTGTGGTGGGGGGGGGGGGAGGAGATGAGAGATTATGGGCGATTGTGGACCCAGCTAAAAGGGATGGCAGGAAATAGAACAGAGTGGAGATGTGTAGTTCAAGCACTATGTTCCACTCGGAACCCAAGGGAATAATAATAATAATACACTAACAATCTGATTCCTTCGCGTTCCCAATGGAACACAGAGAGCTTCAAGCTTGAGTTTTAGAGTTTCAGTAGCAGTGGTTCAACTTTCTCACTTTATATCGGGCTTACTACCGGTTGGGCGAAGTTAACGAGTGTATCGACCCGGCGAATCGAATTCCAGACGATATGGGTGGTTGGTAAGTATTAGACTAATATTGAACCACTTTTTCTTTAGAATGTTGCAAAGAGAACTCTGATATTTTCAAAAGAGTATTGACATTGAATGACTGACTGGTTTCAACATAGAACTTTCCACATATATGTAGCAGTACGAGTTGCCATTCACCCTTCATGTAACATGCAAAAGCAAGAGAAAAGAGTAGAGAGAGATTCACCGAAAGAGAGATAAAAAACAGAAGTGCGAGCGAGAGAAAAAGAATAGAAATATGGGCAAACAATAGAGTACTCTGATTGGATATGACAAATCACAAAGAGTAAAATGCATCTGTGCCAACCATTGACAACACTAGTCTCCAGCCTTCATTGGTTTGTACCATCCCGAGGATCCCCCCAGACTGTCAGTCTACGCTTCCCTACGTGACTCAAATTAAGTGTTAGAGATTTCATGGACTCAATATAGGTTTTGGTTTGACCACCGCTAGCTAACTCTTTTCCAACCTGATATATCCTATGTCAGCTAACATTGACCGTTATCGAGGAAGGCGATGTCTGGGCATACGAAACACATTTCTTAACCATCTCTTCCAATCGATTTCACTTCACAACCTTTTTGATCAAACAAATTTCCCTCCTTATATAGTACTCGACACCTAACCAAATCAGTATAACTCACCTTATTATACCACTTAACATGGAAGATAGAACGCAGAAACCTATGATCAAAGACAGTTAGCTAGCCAGTCTTTTCATATCTTCCACTTTCAATGGCCATGTGTCACTCACAGCCATAATGAGGGACAGAGCGAACTGCTAAGTAATACACACGTCCTTTGATCGAGAGTCAGCCTGATATAACGTCTCTGCCAAAGATGCCGAATGTTGGCGGCATATGCCAAACAAGCCTTCTCTATCCGTGCTCAGACTACGTCAGCGGTCATCAACTCACTAGCGTTGGCTGATGCAACTACCCAAATAAGTGAAGTGGTTAACACTCGCTACTACTTAACTCTCGTCTATCTTTAATCCAAAAGTCAATGTAATCCAGTCCTGTCATTTGAATAAGTATCACTTTTGGTACACTCATTCTTTTTGACGTAGTTATGTTCTCTAAGCTAATTGGTTTATTTGCGAAGCTTTCATTGCCCTATTAAGCACCATCTTCAGAGCATAATTCAATTTGAAGACGTCAAATTCGTAAACTTCAAATTGAAGTATGAGCTGAAGATGTCGCTTAGTGAGGCAATGAAAGCTTCCCAGACAAATCATTCAGCTCAGAGAACATAACTACATCAACAAAATCATCCACCTGAGATACAAATCCTCTCCATCATATCTGATGGTCACAAGTTTGGAATAGGTTTAAAACATTACTTTTCACAGTCAATTTATTCTGTGAATCTTGAAGGTCATTGGTTATTGAGAGGATGCATCAGCCCCACTGAGTTGATAACCGACGAAATCTCAGAACGAATACAGAAAGCTAGTTAGGCATTTGCCAGTTTACGCTGTCTGTGGCGTAGACTTGACTATCGACCAAAGGACGTGGGTAAAGCTCAGGAGTCCGCTTACTCCCCGCCCCCTTTATGGCCGTGAGATATGTTGGTCATTGAAAGTGGAAGATACGAAACGGCTGGCTATCATCTGTCTTTGATCATAGGTACCTGCGTTCTATCTCCCGTGTGAAATGGTATAATAGGGTGAGCGAAAATGTGGTTAGGCGTGGGTCGAGTGCTAGGTAGGTGGTGGTGGGAGGGGGTAAATCAATCGACGAGGCTGTGAAGTTACATCGACTGAGATGATTACGAAATGTATTACGCATGCATCCCTAGCCATCGCCTTTCTCGACAACAGGCAATGTTAGCTGACAAAGGGTCAGACTGGAAAAGAGCTAGTGGCGGTCAAACCAAAACATGGCGGCATCAGTCAATGAAATCCACATCAGTTAGTTTGAGCCAGACACGTGGGAAGGCGTAGACTTCCTGGTTGAGGTCCATGGGACGGTAAAACCAATGGTTGGCGTAGATGCATCCACTCCTTGTGGCTTATATTACCCAATAAAATTATATTGATCTTCCTTATTACTATTCCTTTTATATGGA